CACTTTGTTTGACAAGCGAATTTTGCATTTGCGAGGCGGAGCGTTTAGCGAAGCCGAGCGAAAGCAAAATTTGCGAGTCGAACAAAGTCACTTTTGATCCGAATTAAACATGCTATTTTTTCTGCAACCGAAACAATTAACTAAAATAAACATGTGTAACCACCAATGCCGTGCCATATGTATGCAATGCAACAAATATTGACAAATAATCCGTGTAGTGAGAACATTCTACCTGCATCAACAGCAGGTTCATTCAATTTTCAAGGATGTTCGAATTGTAGTTTCAATATAAATACAACCACAGAGTGACATATTTGTGTATGGGCCAGATGCTCTAATGGCAAATACCGTGCCAGAGCCAGCTATAGGAACAATACGTGGAAAATGTTAGGTATGTTAGGTTAGTGAGCATATCAACAATGATAATAGTGATTATTTATTCCTCTCCATACTGGCATACTACACTGTGTTTGACTTGATAATCGAATTAAGCTAAATAATATCGTTGTTTGAGACAAAAAAAATATTGCTTGCCGTGATTATTCAAAAACAAGTTATCCATCCCGAGAATAACGAATGAAATACTGATCAAGCAAGTATTTGAATCTTGAAGGCTTCCCTGATCAAAACAAAAATACTCAACTGAGATGTTTATAATTCCAATACTAAACTATAATAAAGGTGTATTTATATCTCCAGCATGGGTATGAAATGCCAAATCTGCTGAAATCGGAAACAAATCAGGTATGCGTCTCAACCCAAATAACCAACCGTCACAATGTTGTTTATTCTTGATGACGTCCAGTATCCTTTTTAGTTCCTAGGAGCCAAAGTTCAACTTTAGCTCCTAGGAACTAAATATGTTGCCTAGCAACATACCTATTTTTGTGCCAGTAATAGAAACGTCAATTTAAGAGCTAATTTTGGTATCAAAATGGACGACTTTTGTGTCGGTTGCAGAAAAACAAAATTTATTATACTTTGTTCATTGGAAATAATAAATAATGCCAGAATAGATGTATATACCTGCAGAAGAATAGTAATTTCACCATAAAACATAAATGTGCTAAAAGCTTTGATCGAGAGATGACGCAGCATCTTGATGAACATAACCTAACAATATGCAGGTACTTCTGATCCTTAGACCACTCGACACAGATATGTGCCGAACCTACTTATAGACCATACTAGAATCACAGTAGAGAGCTTACAGAGAATGGACAAAACAATAAGCCAAGACCAGATAGATTAGAAATCCAATCAACTTTCTTTGAAACAACGTCACCAATGTGTGTCTGCGGGCGCACGTCAGCAGAATACTTCTGTTACACATATCTAACAGCCTCATAAATTTGGATAATACACAGAGACTGAAAACTCCATATTAGCGATTTTTTTGAGAAAAAAATCCACGTACGCCACGGGAATCAGCGTCCTCGGAAATAAAACTGTACCAAGTTCGATGAAAAATTATTCATAACAATTCTACAGCGTGTCTCATTTCAAATGGCCTCCCCTTTATATCTCAGCTGTTAGTCGTGCGATCTTTACCAAATTGGAACCGGTATTCGAATGACCATCAATATGATCAGTTTTTCTGAGACATACATCCTTTTGGACAGTGCCGTGCGATTTTTCACGAAATCATAAAGGGAATTGTTTTACTGGAATACTGACCACATGATATTGTTCGTCATGGTGTCAAACCCCCATATTTAAATTTTCATATGATTCCTATGAAGGGTTTCAAATAACATCATTTTTGCGGAAACGGTGAGTAGTGGAGGGAGTGGAGAGTGGATAGTGGATAGTGCAGAGTGCAGAGTGCAGAGTGCAGAGTGAATAGTGAAGTGTGGAGTGGAGCGGAGATGAAATAGTATTTTTCTGCAACAGACACAAGAGTCGTCCATTTCAATATCAAAATTAGCTCGAATTGACGTTTCTATTACTGACACAAACATAGGTATGTTGCTAGGCAACACTTTTAGTTCCTAGGAGCTAAAGTTGAACTTAAGCTCCTAGGAACTAAAAAGGATGTACTAGAGGTCATCAAGAATAAACAACATCGTTATGGTTGGTTATTCAGGTTGGGACGCATACCTGATTTTTTTTCCGATTTCGGCAGATTTGGAATATAAATTCACCATATTATAGTTTAGTATTTTTTTTACCAGGAAAGCCTTCAAGATGCTTGATCTGCATTTCATTTGTTATTCTTGGGATGGATAACTTGTTTTTGACCAGCAATAGTTTTTTGTCTCTTGATTACCGTGCCAAACACAGTGGAGTATGGAGAGAAATAAATAAGAATCGCCATTACTAATGTTCTTCTTGCTTGTTTGTTTTACGTCGGCCTTTTTCTGCTACTGAGGCTTATCACTGACGCCGGCGAGCACACACAACCTAACATTTTGAACGTATTTTTCCTATACCTGGCCATCAAACATCAACTTTCAGACTTGTTGTTCCATTACCTGGCACTGGTATTTGCTATTAGGGCTGACACCTGGTCCATACACAAATGGGTCACTCTGTGGTTGTATTTATATTGAAACTACAATTCGAACATACTTGAAAATTGAATATACCTGATATGATAATGCAGGTAGAATATTCTCACCACTCGGATTATTTGTTGCATTGCAATTCTTTCGATTGCAGAAAAAATAGCAAGTTTCATTCGGATCAAATGTGACTGTTTGCCTCGAAAATTTTGCTTTCGCTTGGCTTCGCCTTGTTTTTTCTCTAAAATCACAATTTTCTATCTACCGGAGCTATTGAACTTTCCAAAATTTGCAGTCAATTTGAATTCATATTCTTCCGAAGCTGAATACTAAAAAAAAGAAGCAAATCCTGTTAATTTTGAATGAGGTTTTTTTTTGCAAAAAAATCCAATATAATTTCATGAAAATCGACCCCTTTTTATTTCAATAAAAAAGCACGGCACCGTCCAAAATGATGTTCGTTTTCTGAACAACCGATCATATTGATGGTTATTCATACTGGTCCAAATTTGGTACGAATCGCACGACTAATAGCTGAGATAAAGAGGGGAGGCACTATGGAATCGTTGATGTTGAATATTTTCTCATGAAACTAGATACAATAATCCTTCAGAGGACGCTGATTCCAGTGGCGTACGCGGATTCTTCTAAAAAAATCGGTTATATGAATTCTGGATTTTTCTGCCCCAGAATGTGTTCTAGTTGGCCTTGGTTCTTTAAAAAAAAAGTGGACGCTGTTTAGCTCCAAAATACACGTTTCCTCCTTCTACATTTAAAAAATGTCGTGAAAATCGCTACATAAGTGAAAGAATTATTACAGTGGCCTGCTTTTAAATGGGTCACTCTGTACATATATGACGCCTGGGTAGCGAACGTGTTAAACCTAAGGTGTGATAGATCGATGAAATCAGCTCAAGGGAGAATCTGAAAATGCAATAAAATATTGAAAAGGAATATTCTCAGATAAATTATGAACATACAAAAATGGATATATATTTATATAAAACAATACATTGAGAATTCGCATTCTCTATGTGATGAGAATATTTACTCTTTTTCAGTTAATTCAATAGAAAAGAACTACTTTCCTGGCTATATGCCACGACGAACATTGAATTATATCTATTGAACACACACGATAAGAGTTTGAAAATAAAATATAAAAATTTCTGAAATTGAGAATTTGCATATAGCCAGGAAAGTAGTTGTTTTCTATTGAATTAACTGAAAAAGAGTAAATATTCTCATCACATAGAGAATGCGAATTCTCAATGTATTGTTTTATATAAATATATATATCCATTTTTGTATGTTCATAATTTATCTGAGAATATTCCTTTTCAACACTTTCATACCCAATCAGGGGGTTCAAACTTGAACGATGGAAACTTGTGATTTTTATAGACCTCTAATCGCAGATTCGTGATAGAGTCTCAATTCAGAATTCATTTCCACGCCCTGTATGATGAATGTCAATTTATCATACACCCAAATGCAATAAAATACTTAAGAAAAAGTATAACTTCGACACGTCACGCTTTTTCGAGTCACCTTGTATAACGCAGATTATTTTAGAAATGTGTTGCTCTTCAGCCTAGACCATCTCCACCAATTTTTGTTCATCTATCTCAAACAGCGAAGCCGTTAATCAGATGATTTGTCACAAAATGTCGCTTTGTTTGACAAATTCTTCTATCAAGGAGCCTAAAAGAAAAATCCAATAGTTTGTCAGTGACACTTTCTTTGGAAAAATGTTTGAAGAGAAGAAATATAGATATTTTGAAAAAATGTTTGCTTAAATTTGTAAAATGCAGTGACATTTTGGGGCAAATCATCTGATTTGTCCTACTTCACATGTATTGAAATAATACTCATATTTTTATTTTATAGAAACGAGGAGATATAATCCTAAATAATCAAGTAAAATAAATGAATTCACCATATGGACTATCAATATTTCGACGAGGCTTGTTGGGGAGATAATTACCCCCTCGCCCTTCCTTGGATTCGCCACTGTAATGATCGAATCACAAATTGAATCACATGCCATAGAAAAATTTAAACTAATTGTTGTCTTTGATTTGCTCTGTATTTTTGACGCCTAATAAATAATTTTGATACTCGCCCATGATGAAGTTGCGATTTTGATTCTCTATACAGACATAATAGTAGTATTGAGAAATTCTGAAATTTCTGAACTATTTCTTTTTATCCTAATGTTCTCTGAAAATTTCAACAGATCTTCATCGTCATCACCCACTGATTAAGCCAAAGAGAAACTTATCAATGAGCACTTGTCTCAATAGGAATATTTTGGCTTATTTAGCGCCAAATACCGAATAGTTGAAAATTGGTTGGATCAGCCGAATACCGAAGCAAAATCGAAGCTTCCGTGCATTCCATAAATTTACATGTATTGACTTCAACAAATTGACTCATAATTGATTTCATTGATTTCCAATTGTTTTGTTAATTTTCAAGTCTTATCTTTTACAGTTCATACCAACTTACTCAACCTCATATTGAAGCTGTTGAAAAAGGTGAAAAAAAGTGTAAAAAACGAAAAATGGGAGAAACATCTTATTGATGTGTGTCACATGTTCAGTACCAAAGATGCTTGGGAGATAGAGCGTTTTGGCTTCAAAAAGGCTAAGTTGTCATCGAAAATTAGAGCTCTGAAGGTAGGTCCAATTTTGAACATTCATTCTTCTACAAAATGTCAACTTGCATCATTGCATGAAATTCATCTTATTATTTATTTGTGACTCAAATAATCTAGTGAAGAGATTTCAGTAAAACAAACTCTTAGGCGAGTGGTTTTGAACAGATGCCATGGACTGTTTTCATTTTTTAATGCTATGGGTACATTCAAATTCATTTCGAGTTTGAAATTTCCAACATTATATAATTTCCCGAGATAATTTAAAATAGTACGATTTGGTTTTAATACTGACGAGAAGATCAGTGAAATAATTATCGAATCTAATGTACTGTAAAAATCGAGGTAAAAATATAGTTCAGGAAAAAATCTGCCCGAATAACCGTTAAAAATTAATGGCGCGGCCTATTTCCAACCAACATGCTGCCAAAAACTGATATACGGGGTTTCTATAAGTAATTGTGTTTTGTTATCATTCGTTGTTTCTGAGTAAGTCTACTATTTATTGAGGAACCTGACATTTTCAAAAATCAAACCTCACATTTTCATACAGCAAAACCCCTGGAGCGACAATAAGAGAAACATTTTTATAATCTTTGAAATAGGAGGAACAAAATCCTTTTATTGGAGCTATGGAAGACGCATACATCAGAAACCTCAACACCAACATAAATATCCAGCATGAAGAGGACTGATGAAGACTTCCGCGGAAGTGTGAAGATCCGAGTCGCATATTCGGGTTCTCTGAAAAGTCAAATTCAAAAGCTAGAACCTACTTCATAGGCTACGTGCAACAGTACACAAAAAAACTACAAAATCTGCTCAGTTCAGTTGCATTCACTGCCACATTCAATGAAACATCTCAAAACATTATGGAAGTATCTATTTTTTGTCAACAGAGAATTCGTTTTTTATTTCAACTAACTTTGTCCAAAAGTCAACGTGTCCTACATAACTGTTTTCAGAAAAACATCTGGATCAGCAAAAAATCAAAAGAACATATAGTGCCATTTAGAAAAAAAAAAGTTGATAGTCACTGATGTTAAAGATGAGCATTGAAAAAATAATGATCAGAACCTACTAATAGTATATGATAAGTCATTTCATTTGATTTTTTGTTTTTGAAAATCGTATGATCAATACTGACGCTATGGTTTGGGGCGTTTTTTGTCGAAAAAAATGCCTACGAAAAAATTACGAATTCTTAGGACGAGTAATTTTTTCTGTCAGTTTTTTGAGCACTCTCCTGAAGGCAACAAAACTCGAATTATAAATGTTGAGTTTACTTCGGCCCACAGAAAATGTTTGAGTGTACTTCGGTATGACAGAATAATGAATACGTAAATCACAATGATGTTGATGGATTTTTCAATTTCTACACTGGAAGACTCCAAATCGCGAAATTCCCACAAATTAGATACTTTTCTGACAACGAAAGATTGAGAATAACGACAATAAACGCCCTCAAGATTCTGGTTGTCATGCTTTCAGATGGTTTTGTCGCTGAAAGCAAATATTGACAAATCACAGCAGTTTAATTAATATGGGCTTGTTAACACATGAGTCAAATTGTCATTGAAAAATAGTTATTATAAAGTGCTCAGAAGCAAAATGCCTGCAAGAAAGTTCCCAACAATTACAAATTTGATTCAATAATATTATTTTTTTGTATTGACTGGCTGATGGAAATTCATGGTAAATGTTGAAAATTTCACAAACGATAAAATGTCTTCAAAATTGTGAGAAACATGACTTTATTTGGTAACACAGCTTCTTCAAGTGAAATACTCGTTCAATAAATCAACCTAACATTGACTTGCCTAAATTATGTACAGTTATGAACCTAAAGGATTGGAATCATCTGCTAGGGATTAACTTGCGAGGAGTGATGCAAACATTACCAACTAAGGAATCAAATTCGAATGTGGTGAATAGGATCAGTTGATGGTTAAGTGAAATGTCAGAATTTTTGCTATTGTTAATTTCTAATTTTTCCGAATGATTGTTTTATTTATTCGTTTTCTAGATGTTAAATTTCGTAATTGGCGATTTCCTTTTGTTTATGGTTAGTGTATCCTGAATTTGTATACCTTTTTTGAAAAAATGATGTTCTTTGCTTCTGGATAAAATAACACGTTGGAAAGATTCTTCATGAATTCTGCCGAATTTCATTAAAATGAGAGAATTACTTGAGTTAATTTTCAGGAGCTTCTTGAAATGCAGTTTGACTACAATGTCAAATTCAAAAATGACGTTAATAAACTAAGCAGCACTGAGTTGAGGTCTTTGCCGTTAGGTAGAGATAAGGCAGGACATGCCTACTGGTTTCACAGTGACGAAAATTATCAAATTAGAGTTTATAAGGAAGATATAGATGAAGAAACGTGGACTCTCATCGCCAAGTTAGTATATGAATCATTTTTATCAATTATTATTTTTAGCAGCACTTTTTCACACACTTTTTCTTGGTATGTCATATCAAAGAAATTTTTCAGGATACTTTATTTGGGTACAAACTGTGTTAATTCATTTTGTCATCATTACAAGACTTCTACTTGAATTATTTTAAAGCAATGAGAAAACAATATGTCATTAGTCAGTGACGAGCCACTGTGTTGGTTATTTTATAATTACTACAAAAATACCATTTGAAATTATTTCAGAGAGGTGTGAGTAACGATCTATCTGCGCTTTCAAATTAATTAAAATGAGTTGGTAAGTTGAATTGACATCAAAGAAATGATAATTTTTCAGAGACAGAGAAAGCCTTGTCTCTCTCATCAACAAACTTGGCGATGGAGATTACAAGGTCAGTTCAGATTCTGCGGCGAATGAAGATAGTAACTCGTTATCTGAAAAACCAATTTTAGACACTGGCCAAATAACTGACTGTAAAAATGATACAGATGCAAAGGACACTGCTGACAATGGAATGATTCAAAACAATACTGAAAAAAAGAATGAGGATAAGCCAAAACCCTTGTTGAGGATCAAAAATCTCAGTGAATTGATAGATGAAAACGTGAAAAGGCCTAGATTTAGCAGTGACGATGAAGAAGAACGTCAAGACAAAATATTGAAAGTATCGAAAGACATGAAAATGCCTCTAGTTAGCAGTGAAGATGTAAAAGAACGACAAGAAAAGGTGTTGAAAGTACATTTGAGAACTTCTAGTTTGAAAGATTCAGTTAAAGTTAAGACTAAATCAAAATCAAAGGGTCAGAGTGGGAAAGAAGATGTTCCAGTGGTCGGGGAGGCTATAGAAGAAGATGTTATGTATTTTCAAGGTGAAGGAAGCGGAGAAGATTGTAAAACTGGTAATGAGGATAATGTAAGCAAAAGTGAAAAATCAGAAACTGATAGTATTAAAGATAATTTAGGTGTAAATAAAGACAATAATGATGATAACTTCAAGGAGGTTCCTTGTAAACAGTCTAACGATGTTAAGATTGACAATAATACTGACAATTGTCCACCAAGTCCTACTAAAAATTCAAAAAAAGATTCTGAAATTGAAGATGTAAGCACACCACCTAATACACCTAAAAAATCGATTTTTTTCTTTGGATCGCCTGGTACGAAAAGTGCGAATATATCACCATCTCTCACTATGGGGTTTGGTCAAATACCCCATAAAAATGATACTGCAGAATCTGAAAATAAAGAAAATAATGAATTTGAAGAGAAGGAAAGTGACAACCCCATAGGCATCCCTAATTTGGGATCGAAAGAAAATATTGAATTCACCGATAATACAGCAAATGATGTAGAAGAGAATAAGAGGGACAAATTTGAGAATGACAAAAACACAGATAATGATAAAAACAATGATGGTGATAAAAACGAAGATAATGGCAATGATAAAAATAATGACATTTCTAATGATAATGTATTGAATATTGAAAATACAGTAACATTACCGGACAATTCAACTGAATTAGACGCTAACAAGGAGGCAGATAGTAATATTGTCATTTCTACAAATGAAAATGAATCACTTGCAATTGAAAAACCATGTGTGAAAAAGGTAGCATATGTCTGTGGTGATGAAAAAAATAATTATAATGAAAAGAATAAGAAAGAAGAGAAGGAAGCTACAAAAGCTCTACAAATTGATGAAAAATCCAGGGAACCGGACAATTCAAAAACTCTACCACTGAAATTGAAATGTAGAGAAGATACAACTTCAGTTGAAAAAACAAATCTGTCTTCTACCGAGGTATTAAATGAAATACAAGAAGAATCTAAGCAAGATAAACCCAAAAGCTCACTACGATCTGTGAGGAATAGAAAAAATAGCACTACCAATGTTACATCTGCGATTACCGAAACACCCATTCTTCAGAAAAATGACAACGAAGAAGAGGTGCAGACTGAAATAGTTTATGTCAAAGGCAGAAGAGGAAGGTCCATAAAGGAGAGGGAAGAAACACAACCTGTTGCTACTACTAAGAAACCAAAGCTGGCTGTGGACAATAAGGAAAAAAAGAAAGGTAAATGATAATAGACAAGTTCACCAGTCCTGCACTTATATTTAGGCTTATCTACATTAAAATAACTGCCATTCTTAAACGCAAAAGTATCATTTTGCATTCTTGATACAAAAATAACTATTTATTGACATTGACTAACTGGTCGACCTTGGGAAATATTTACTCCATTTTTGTTACCATCATTATCACTGGCTTTTTCTGTTGGTTTTTTTATTTTCATATGATTCTAGTTTCTCGGTCAGGCAAATGATCTTATTTTATAGCAAATTGCAAATTCCACTAGGTAACATACTTTTTGATTCCACTTCCTGGAATAAAGGGTGTGCTCCATAAAATATTGGATTTTTTCAAATTATCAGTACAAAGTAGTCAATGTTTGTCAATAATTTTCGCTCTGCAGAAGAGCTAGTGGACCAAGAAGAAAGACAGACGCGGCAGGGCCGCCAACGCCAAATCAGGGAAAAAATTAGCGCGGCTACAACCCCCAATTCATCACAAGTTTCGTCACCAATCTCTAATGCCGATTCAGTCATAACCTTTCCTGAATCAGTAGATAGCAACAGCCTCCAAGACCCACCTCAAGAAGAAAAAGATCCCCTAGCAGATACGAATGATGAAAAAGAAGACGATGTGTCATCAACAAAGAGTGAAACAGTGGCACCCAACAAATCTATTAGTTCACAAACTTTTGCTTTAGATTATAATGAATCATCAACTACCCCACCTGTACATGTTATTCCTTCTATGAGGGGTGTGAGAAAAAGGGGGAGACCCACAGGTTCCATGGAAGAGGTGAACGTGGAGGAAGCAGGAGAAGGAAAGAGGATGAAGTTGAAGGTGAGTTAGAAAATGAATTTCTCATGAATTATTTTATACTTGGGTGTATGAGCCAACAATATCATTCTTTACTGTCCAGTGTTTATATCTTCTTGTTCTTGTTGAACTACTATACAGTAATTTCTCTTTTCAATTGAGTTTGATTTTGATGATTTTCATTTATAATTCAGCTTCATATAAACTTGAATGTTTCCGTGGTATTTTAATAGCAACTAAAAACACTATGTGGAGTGTACCAATAACAACAAATTACAATTGAAAGTTGACTGTCGCCTTATCTTTTATCTTTTTTGTTTCACTTTCTCACCTCTATTGAAAAAATACATGCCATCTCAAAAGATTTTCAATAGCATATCGTTTTATTAGAATCAAGATTGTCACAGTCACCAGTCACGATTTCGGAACAAATATGGAGGACTTTTGAGTGGGTTGCAGAAAAACACTTGAAATATACTAAAATCCATAACGCATATTCCATCTAGAGAAGCACCATTCGCCTGGTGGGTGATGCCACACTTACTTCCTCTTTGACCTCGTTAGAACACCGAAAAAAAGTCGGCGACCTTTCACTTTTCTATAGATATTTCCACGGGAAATGTTCCTCAGAAATGTCTGCTATAATTTCATCACTAGCAATACCAGTAAGACGAACTCGACACGCCCAGTCAGCACATCCTTTCGTGATTAACCTTGAATTATGTCGAACAACACTACCAAAACTCGAAATTAAAATCTCCAAAACTTCAAAAGAAATTGCAACACCTGCCTCCTCTCCCTATCCTCGCTAGGTGCGCACGATGCTCCACGAACTCCACGAACTCCACGAATTCCTTTCGTGCGCTCCAAGAGATTAAAAAAATATATTAGATTGCTATATCAACTACACAATGGGCATTTTGAAGTCTAAATAGTCGCCTTTTGCTAGTATCATTCTTTGTGTTATCATGCACTCATACTGTAATTTATCAATCAAAGAACGTTGTCCTATTGAATTGCATGTCTCCTTGGAATAGTAAAGGGCGACTGGACTGATAATGAATTATTGGCATTCAATTACTCCATTGCCAATCGGAACGTTTTGATGTGATTTTTCTATAGTTGTTTAAATGTTGGCCTATTACATCTCTCCAACGATTCCTCCCCAAACATTCATTCTATTTGGTATATTACAATGGTTTGAGTGAATAAAAGAATAAATATGTTCTGCTCTTCACCTTTTCGATTTCCCTAGTAGCGCCTGATTGTCAGATACGCTTTTAAAGGTTATATTTTCTGTCAAATCAATCATAGGCGTAGATGGAAAATAGAAATAAGGTATAAACACCCACTTCAATTTATCAAACTAATACCATCCAGTGACTCTATGTCAACCTATCCTGAACCAATCAATGTTTGTTAATTTATTACTCAGAATAATTATTATTTATTGGCACTATTCATTATGTCAAGCGGGTAAATATGCACATAAACAATTTTTAAAAAAAAAAGTCCTACGAAAAAAATTGTACCTTTAATTTCTGTATTGAGTTGATGCAGCAATATATCTTGTGGAATAACTTTTATCTTAATCCTATTGGATACTTAGATTATTTGGAGAATGGGTTCTCGATGACGGCCTTTTGCGCACAGCACAAAAACACATTATCTATGAGAGTGCCAACAAAGAAATTATGTTCAGAGGCAAACAGAGGGATTGTGACCATTACCAAACTTGCATGTACATTTGATAGAGGACTATGGGTAACAATCTGAAATTTTTGATCGAAACTAATTCTAGGGTAAACGTCAAGTTAACACACAACTGCGCAGGAGTGTCGAGCAGCAAAAGGAACAGCAAATCAGCATCAGCAGTAGTGACGAGGTGATAGAACTTTCTGACGAAGATGTGCCCAAGAAAGCAATTGGCAAGGCGGCAAAGAAAAAGAAAGGTTTTGCGGCTAGGAAAAAACAGGCGGAGAAATCTGCAACAATCAGTGATGATGAATCGAATAGTGCACGAATACCAGTCAAAGCAGCTAAAGTTAAAAAGCCAATTGTAAGGCACCCTGAGAATAAGAATAGTATGTGTACACTTTTTCATTATATTTATTGGTTTCGGTTATAACTCATAGTACCTATATAAATTTTGCTGTCAGATAAAGGAACCATTATTCAAAAACTTATTGCGACAAATGCGGAATAATGAATATCATCATATTTCATAGAATATATACAGTGTGTGCGATTTCAACTGGTAACACCCTTTTAATTTGAAACCCGATGACCAATTTTTCAAAACAAAAATTTCCATAATATATTACTCAACGAGGTCTCTTTGAAAATGAGGAAATCTGAAATATTCAGATTCTCAAGGCCTACTTTTGTTTGTTAAGAGAGTCGAAATTCCAAAAAAGACTGCTATTTTTTTCGAAAAAGTAGTGGATAGCCTATTCGATTCAGGCACAGCTGGAATAAATACACTTATCCAAAATTTTAACGCTATATCTCATATAGGTTGTTAGTGTTTCGATGGCAATATTTCATATTTTTGCTTTTTCAATTCACCCTGTATCAAAATCTAAGGAGTTGATTTAACCATTGAAGTTGTCATTCAATGGAGAAACACATCGAATACTTAGTAGAACTTACAACGACGAAACTTTGTATCTATGTGTTCCTCAAATGACTACTGGTTCTATCAACTTCTTACATTTTGAATGTCAGGTTGAATTGAATAAGCAAAAATATTGAAATTATTCATAACTAACGCAATAGGTATTGTGTTGAAATTTTGTATAGGGGTAATTATACCTGAATCAAATTTTCTATCCGCTTTTTGAAAAAAAAAGTCTAATAGTTGAGTAATAGTCGTTTTTGAAATTTTGACTCCTTGAATAAACAATAGTATGCCTTGAGAATCAGAATATTTCAGATATATCTACATTTTTGAAAATCGGGTAACGGGTTCCGAATTAGGAGGGTCTTTCGGGTTGAAATCGCACACACTGTAAATGGTAACATCTTTATTTATTAGCTTTTTGAATAACCAGTTGCAGAATGAGCAAATTACAGAATTACAGTAATCATTGTGTGTCCGTCATTGTCTAACATATTACATTCTTGTATTCGGGAAATATGTAGATAGTGTTGATAGATGATAGAATTTCCTCATTAAGCTGACATGGAATCCGTCGTTGCCATCAGTAGAGATGAATATATCCTACTTGAATGGAATGGCGGACTTTGCTTCAAGTTGCCAACCTGAACACCTCTACCTATGTAGAAGCAACATTATGGTAGTTTTATTACTCAAATGGCTTTATTCTGATGAAATATTGGTTGTAGGCTTCTACTCAGCTCACTAATAGAATTTATTCAGAAGAAAAAATAATTTTTGTGAACTTCAGTTCGGATTAGTTGAATATTATGTTGATGCACCTGCTTTCATTCTGAAATATGTCACATCGTCGTCAATTTTATTACTTGTCATATTTTTGTTACATATTTTGAATTATTTCATTTTTATTATTTATCATTCTCTGGTATGGAAGTTTGATCACTGCAATAGGAACACTTATATACCTAGGTAATAATAAGCATGTTCCTAGTAAAAAAAATAATCGGAAAAATAAATCATTCAATAAATACTTCTAAAGCTTCCACGGCTCCCCTTGGATGAAAACTGGTCAAAGTTTCCAATAATAGATATACATATCACAAATATCGGAATACAACATACCTTTATTCAAATAATTAGACACAGGGTAACTGAAATCACAAGACCATTCAGACATCACAATATTTATTATAGCTTGTAGTGAGGTAGTGGTAGTAAGGAAATATAAATGAATAACAATAAATATAAAGACCTTTACAAATTAATTTTTATCACCATTACGACGAGTGGGGAGTTGCCTCAGACCAGATAACTTTGGAACCCTCACATCCAGTTTATTATAGGTTTGCACATTCCTCATGAGAGTTTCTTGATCATTATTCGAAGTTCGAACGTGACTCGGAACTTACTGATTTAGTGATTGATATACCATTTTTTACTCGTGGCACTACTGGCAATATTGAAAATTGATATTTCAGTATTGACGTATCACAGATGCACTAACATGATTTTCAACCAGCCGAGAGTTGAGGTTCACAAAAAATATGTTTCTTCTGTATAACATTCATCAGAAAGCTGAGTAGACCCCTACAATCAGGTTTCATCAAAATAAAGCTATTTGAGTCAACAAACTTCAATAATATTTCTTCTAAAGTGGTAAAGGTTTTCAGGTTGGCATTTTGGAGCAGTCCCCCATTAGATAAGAAGAATGCCTCATGTCACGGTTACGCGATTTGGTGTTCTATAGAAACCCGTTTTCCCACATCGCCACAAGTTCCAGTTCCAGCTGGCAATGATTCATTTCACTCTTGTCATATCATTTGTCAATCTTGGCAAAAGGGTCACTTGTATTTTCAGAGTGTTTCAAACATATTGCAGCAGAAGATATTTTCATATAAACCCCTTGTCCAAAATAAGCAGTTTTTGACCCTGGAGCAACACACACTAGTTGAATTTACGCCACATACCTATTTCATATCGACCATTCCGTGTATAAATAGTATTTGATCCAATCATTCCTTATTTAAAATCATCGCAAATATATATTTTTTTAATAATGAAATTCGGACCCTTCGAAAAAAGTTCGATGACGTCATGAACCGAGCCGAGAGTAATCGTTATCTGAATTCTGGCTTTCGCATAAAAAGTAGGACCACATATTTCGACGCTGCCAGATTTGTAACTAGTAATTACCTTATGAGATGCAATATGACCAATGACAACAGTATTCACATTCACAGAAGACAATAGTTCGACCTGGTTCCTAATAATCACTTATTGCATACTTGTATACTTGAAATAAGATGATTCAATACCAATAAAAATATCCTCGTACTCCTATAAAGGATCGAGATTTTATTGAAACTCAACTTATTTTGTGGCACCAGCGTGATGCCCAGAGTTCCCAGAAATACAAGAAGAGAAGAAGAAGAACTGAACTAAATTGTCAACCTGACTTCCTAACGTCAATATCGTCTGTCACCTTCATCTTTAAATCATTGTTTCATCTAGTCAAGATGCGAATATTCAATGATAATTCTCTTGTTATCTGCTGTGTGCAATGTTCTCTGCAGGTTACTACAGCTCAGATTTTTCCTCCATATTTAACAGACAATGATCTGCAGTAAGTAAAGTAAGTATTCAGTCCACAAAATTCACTAGAGTCTAGGGAGAGCACCTTATGCGGAGGCAAACTTTTTTCATATTTTGATTGAAATGACAATCAGAAATATTCTCGCACTTGTCTTACAGGAATAGAGATACGTATGTAGACTCTTTTTGGATGATTACGTCACGCGTGATCCCGCGTATTTCATGTCAACAATTAGGCAAAAAATGTGCAGACGTCTGGGGAATAAACAGTTTGCGACAGTGAACTAGTTAGGGTTAGTTCTTCGAAATAATAGAAAGAAAATTTTCAATGAAATAGGCCCATTGTTATCCAAACACCTTGTACTGTGTTGATAAAATGAGACCCCGATGTTTAACTCATGCTGCCCTAGAGAAAAAAAAAACCTGTTATTTTTTTATCGAAATTCTAGAATCATTATTCTTGACTTCGTTTTATGGGTTTTTATTGAAATAATAATGAATTATCTAGTAGACCATGTTTTTCATTGTGTGACGCGACGTACCAACTGATAAAACTAGGGCATGAGGATTTTCATGGGCCCATATAGTGATTTTTCAAATTAGTTATGCCATCATGCGTGAACTGAGCTTCATTTTTTCTTCTCTATACACTTCTGCAAGTGATATAAGGATGCATTTACTATTTTTTCAATATTCGTAATGTTCACCTCGTGAAGGTTTTACTGCTACGTATTCTTGGATCTGGAAATCTTCTATGGTATTAAACATTGCAGCATTTGAAGTTTCTTCTTGTTCAGCATTTGAAATATGAAGTGGAATCTTGAGTGCAAGAATATTTCGATTACCAGTGACCTATCAACAAACGCCACGGTACATCATATAATGAAAACATGGCATACTTCTTAACAAATTTATAAAATAGAGGCACGAAAATTCACATCTAGTTATCAAAATATCAGACCTACTCTCTTCTGTCAATTTCTATTCAACAAAAATGTTCAAAAAATCAATTTACATGAATTCAGTTGAGAGTTATCAGCCAGGTCGAAATTTTAAATTCATTCGAATCGGTCAAAGTGTGCCGTGCAAATTGAGAATCAGTTCCTATGGTTTTGTCTGATCTTTCTGAATCTGATAAGATTTTCCGGGAAAAGTGATAGAGTGAACTTATCTGACAACAATTTTTTAAACATGATTTTTTCCCATGTCCGGATCTGTATTTTTTTTTCATAATATGCCATCTTGAATAGTTTCAATACAGAAACGTCGCTGCAAAATTTCATCTAATTATTTGAGTCTCCTCATGAATCGCCCTGTATCATCTTCATATTGCAACACCTTTTTGTAACAACTTGTATGTTTTCATATTTATTTTCCGATGGCGCTCAGAACTAGAGGACTTTCCATCATCTTCATCACTATCTATTCCTGTCTTTTTGCTTGTGCAATCGACCGCAATCCACGATTCTCTTTATCTAAGTATTTGATTTTCAGAAAGGCTTCTTGATGGAATGGACTTTCATTTAGTAGATTTTGGAAGGACGACAAGGCAATCTAGAAGAATAGCACAAATCAAGATCAGGGAACAAGCTTCGCCAAAGAAACCTGAACGAATAACAAAGGAAGAAAAAGGAAAGAAAAATCATACCAAAGGAAAAGTAAGTGTATATTCAGAAATAATCAAATTTAATTGTGAAATAAAGACAAAATGATTATAATAATTATGATAATAATATTAATAATAATATGACTATAGAAACAAGTTTGAGCCAATTGTATATATTGTCATTTACTTTCATATGGTTTTGAATGAAATCACCGGTACTATGATAGATATTTGACTGATGAAGTGGGGTTAGTCACATTATATCTGATTCATATGTGTAAGAGAGTCAAGGCTATTTAACTCTATAAGGTTGCCTCATATTCACTTGGCCTGACGTCACTGTTTCCCCAGTCGTCTTTTGTCTGTGCTTTTGTCGAACGGCAAAATGAAAATGGCGGAGGTGATAAACAAAACAAACAAATTAAGCATTGTGCAATTCAGTAAATTTCGATGAATTTTGAAGTTTTCCAATATGTCTTTGTATCCACGAGATAGTTCACTGTTTTCCCAAAACATGCAGCAAGTACAAAAGACTGAAAACAGAAATCTAGAAAAATATGTTATGTTCCTCAGTGCTCCTGTTGTACAGACACATTACAGAAGATTCTTATTGCAATATCACTCCATCAGGACTGATTACTGTTGGCATTTAAGGATATGGAGGTTGAGCTACTGATAAAGCATTTTTTAATGAAGAAAATGTTATTGGGAAGTCTGAACCTGATAATGGAATCATGGTGGATAAGGGCATGCTGACAAGGGATGTGAAGAAAAAATCTTGAAATTGATAAGGCCATCATTTCTGAGAAACAAGAAACAATTAACTAAAGAGGATTTCCTTCTGGATAAATTGAATGATTCTAACTCAATGGTTTTATTTCAGTATCAATTTGGAACATTATTGGTTGAAAATGAAATAATAAGAAAATGAATCAATAAAGAAGTCATCACAATTCTTCCATTTTATTAATGCAATAAAAGTGCAACATAATGAAAATATTTTTAAGATATCTTCCTCATAAGATTAACACAAAATTTTTCATAAAATTAACTGAAATTTGTATGTAAGTTTTGGAGAAAGAAGAATTATACAAGAAAATTAGTTTCCTTCAAGTTCATTAGGGACATTTTAGGGCCATTATTCCCAACTGAATTTATCCATAATAAGTGTGTCTCTTCCAACTTCACATTTTTTATACCATCTCCTATCAAGAAATGGCATTGTTCCACAAAATGTTCTGGCCTTTACCTACAATTTTGAGAAAATAATTCAATCTGAATTTTATACACATTATTTAACAAACCTCTATGTAAGAACCTCAGTAAGGACACTTCTTTCAATTATTTCCATGGTCTTCCTTCCTGAAAAATAATTTCATATGGAGAAAATCCTAACCATGGAGAATATTGGGACACAAATTTGTTTGCATGATTTGAAATTCACTATTATTCTCAATGAACATTTTGAAAGAGCTTTGGATTCATATTCAACTCCATGCTGAACAAATTTATTTGAAAAATCCTTTGGAAAGAAGAAGTTGATTGACTTTTTTCCCCAGACTCCTTGCTACATGTAAAATGAAGTAGCAAGTATAGCCCAAAATAATTCAAAATTAATGAAAGTATACAGTTTTCATGATATGGTATGTTAAAATTTAATAAACTCACCAGTGTTCCTGAGTACCATGCAATAGCTATAGTTGTTTACATTGAGTTCATTGGCTTCCAAACAGAAAACAAAATAGACTGATATACCCTGTAAAATTAACTTGAAGTATATAAAAGGAGAATGATTTTAGGGGGTCACTTTCCTTCTTTTAATAAGTGGGTAGCAGAACTATTGAAATGGTTTTGCTGTATAATAGATCTTTGATTGATCTACTCTCTTTTTTATTTTCACCACTTCTGTGTGTTATATATGCAGCTTCACATATTCCAAGTCTTCATTCCTGAAATTTCATGTATTTTTTACGTGTGTGTGATAGATCAAAAGTGCACCTTCCTATTATACAACCTCTCACCCTCTTTCAAAGATATCTTCAGTCTTCTTGTCACCATGTTTCCAACTAAAGTCTAAAATTCGCGATTCTTTCGAATTCAAATTCAAAAATTTTTTCAATCCATTTGACAGTGACACAAAACGAAATCTACAATCACGTGGCGGGGAAACAGTGACGTCACGCCCCTCCGCACACCCCCGCACCCTAATGCTATACTATGAGGTAACCTTATAGAAGTTAATAGACCTTGTAAGAGAGTATCGTATCCAGGAGCTACGTACCTATACGCCCTGTATAGTGCTTCTAGATTAATGAGTGTCGATCTATTGATGACACACGGGGTTATGTAAAAGGTGACGGGTATTTTGGATAGAATTTATCGACGTATGAGTAATGTTAGGTAGTTAAGAAGTAGCCGTGATACGGCTAGGTTGAATCTGATACCTGAGTGTTTTATTCTAATAACCGTTCACCAATCTAACATATGTGATGCTCAATCGAATTTCATGAAAAATGTCTCCTTTTCAATCACTAACGTGTATATTGAGATTAGTGCCAAGGTATTGATGTGACTGAATAGATAACAGTGATTCAGCGTTTCATTACACCCAATAATTAGTGCAAAATATAATGAATTTTATTATAAAATTTTAAGTTGAGAACAAAAAAGTAGATGTCAGTTGAGCAATTCGAAGTTATTATCACATGGTAAGTGCACTAAGTCTAATGCAAATGCTTTCCAATTCTTTTTCCACATAGATATCCATTACACTTTGTTATTGAGGACATCAATGTAACATAAAAAATTCGTCGAATGCGGATGCTTTTCAATTTTTCTGAATATTCGAGATAATTCTGTCGTTCCATTGTTTACGAGTCCGTCAGGAAGAGTGGTATTGCTGTACAGCAACACAATTGAGTAAACATTGAAAGACAAAATTTTTTGAGAAGATATTCAGAACAGAGTGGTATTTTGCTAGACTAAAAGCATGTTGCGATATTCCCGAACAGTACTACCCAGTTTTTTTATCGTTCCGAAATTTACTGACAACGTTTTCGCAGGTCATTGCAAGGAACCCTGGTTAGAGGCTAAAAGTTCACTGTTTGCCACTGGTGCAGAAATGATGATGTAGCGCCAGTATTCATGAAATGTTAGGTTAAACGTTTGAATGGTTAGGTATGAGTCTATAAAAATTATATATTATTATTTTCAAATACTTTGAGAAAATGTATGAAGTTGAACTGGAGGGTTTCACAGAGATAGTAGATGCTGAAACTGCCAATAATCTACAAGATGGTTTGTTGTTCCCACTTTTGATATCAAATATTTCACAGCTATGTTTCATTTCTTCATCACTGGAACTAGAGGATCTAGAGGTTGGTGTTTCTGATGGATCAGAATCACTATAAGAAAATAAAAACCAACAAAACAAAACATTGAAAATCGAAAGATCATAGGTTATGGTTATGTTTTGCTGCCAGTCTACCAGTACTGCCAAAATCGGTCCGAAATGAGATGAAAATTCAAAGCTACTGGTACTGTTTATTGTTCCTAAATTGCTTGCTGTGGCCAGTAATGTCGGTAATATCGGAAGACCTATGTCACGTTCACGAAGCATAAAAAACATTAATTATCAATGAGTGATACAGTTTGATTTGTCATAATGTTTTTTTGATATTTCAATTCTCATTGCATGTCTTTACTAGCCATTCGTGTAGCAGAGAAATTTACTTGGAATGAAAAGGCCAGTGACAATTATATCACATAATAAAAATAAATAGCATCGCCTATAAAAAATGCTCCTCTGTCCTAGAGATGGCACTAGTGGTTTTTCATGTCATTTGTTACTTGCACTTAAATGGCATGTGAAGGGATGGTATATTTCGAATACAATAAAATTGGTATTCTGCATAATACTCATTCCATTGCCATGTGAAATTGTAATATTGAGACTTATACATGATTGTGTAATAGAATTCAGTTTGTAAACTTCCTATAATGAGAATTATTCTATTCAAATTATGTCAAGTAGAATGGTAATGGAGTTACATCAAAATGGAACATTAAGGCCATGTCAAATAAAGAATAAAACGTCGTGTCATAGAAAACTCATTTTGCTGAAAGGATACATTAGTTAGAACCCATTTTGAATTGAGGTGAGTGTACAAAATGTCACAGTGTCCGAGATTTTCAAATTTCTGAGATTCAAATACTTTTGGAAGCCAAAAATCACAGGTAAATTGATCGCCTGAAAACGCTTTTGCTCAATGCACAGGAACTCCAAAACTTCCGTTCATAATAGCAACATATATGTTCGATCTCGATAGTGGCATATTATCTTGCTCACAGCATTAGCGGTCTAGAAAGTAGTTTATGTCAGTGATCAGAACCACTCACAAATCAAAATTATGCTGTTAATGGTTGTTATATGCTCTGATAATGTTCAAAGTATTCAAAGAAGAAAATGCACAATAACAGTAACATACAAAGTTTTGAAAGAAATACTTCTAGAACTGCAGTAAGTGTAGTTCAGTATGTTCTGAATAACGTCTCCTGTTATTTCAATTTGCCTTATATCTTTCATTGAAACCTCGAACGTATATTAGCAGTACACTCCAGAAAAACGGAAAATAAACTCGCCAGTCGTCAACATCTCCTCTGGGCCTGACGAAGAACCCGAGGATACCAAGAAAAAGAAGAAGAAGGCTCCCAGAAAAACCTTCGACGAGAAACGGCCTTGGAGGTCTAGCAGCGAATCGAGCGACGAACAAGAAGATTGGGTCGAGGAGGAAGAGGAGCCCATAGAAGAAGAAGATCCTCCTATCGAATTGAAATCCGATCATGAATTCTCGCCAGAGAGCGACATAGAAGATGAATATCAGTTGCCAAGGAGAGCAAGGACTGCCAGGAAGAATTATGGCGAAAGTAAGTGGATACATCATTTTTATAGTACCTGTTTTTGTCTTCTGAAGGACTTTTGTTATTTGTGGCACTTGTGTTGTTTTTCTGTTTATTTTTTATTCCTGGGACCCTATTCTCAAATGGTGATATATTTTGTCACATGCGAGATTTCTACATTGTCGAACAAAAAACGTGAGTGCTCATTCTCGAATGACGCATTTGAAAATTTTCAAATTGTGGAGTGGTCTTAAGCAGTCAACATTTTCATGTCGAATGCGAGATTGACTGATTTCTTCACTTGTTATTTTGAGAATGGCATTATTTATTTATAGAAATTGAAAATTTTGAAAATCAAAAAAATCATCAACGGCCACGAGAGAACGTATATGAGAATGAATTCAGATTTTTATCGGACATAAAATGTATAAAAACATCTCAGTGAGGAATTAGTGAGAATCCATTGCACTGCTAGTGACTGCCAGAACCATTTGTGGCACAGGGACATGGGTCTTGCATTTGTTTTGCCAGATAAAAGTGACTCATTCTATTTTTCTTTCATCAAGTTGAGTGTTTCCTTTGAGATGAAGCACAATAACGTCACAAAGCAAAGTGCATTGCTAACAAACGAACACTGCTGACTAAGCCTCAAATATTTTTGGGGTTAATAATCAATTATTAGAATTCGAAAAATGACATGGAATGTACAGTCTTCAGAAGTCGAACAAATCTTATGATGGGATTATTTTCCATACCCACTAGACCACCTTGTGAAAGAACAATAATATTCGTTACCTATTCGTTACGTCCCAGCAAACATTTTGATATGGGGCATCAATGGCCTAATATATTTTTCCCATACCTGACATCAGCGGCCCAGTAAATGGTCCCATTTGCGGGACTCTATATATCAGTACACTGCGGCCGGCAGCTGGCCCCAGTGCTGGGTACCCAGCAATCATATTCAGTTTCCCGGCAAAAGGCCAGTTCAACATAATCGACACATTGAGTTTCCCATAGCAAGCTCAGCATATACATAAATGATGGGACTATAATGGCCAATTAACGACATTGGTTACATACTATCGAGGTAGGGGAGGGGTAGGAGTTTTAAGAGTCCAATGGATCTGAAAGTACTAGTACCTCTTTATTTCACAATATAACCCTCTCATCCTGAATCGGACACATACCAGATTTCAAGGAAACAATTTTATGACTGAAACAATGATATCTTCTTAACCTCTCTGTTCTTCAACGAACGAACGACTGACTGCTTACTGATTGGTATGTGGTATCTACATCTTATTGGGTGGCATTCCTTCAACTTTGTTTGTTCATTGTGAGTTACTTCTGAAATATAAAATGCATCATTCGTTATATTTTATATTAGTGGCCTATGAGTTGCATGAGTTTATAACTTGATAATATAGTCTGATGAAGTAATAACATATGGAGCTTTTCAATTCTCGTTATTTTCTTGGCACAGGTATTTCTGTAGCCGAAACCTGATTGTTATTCAGTACTTTAATATAGAGACAGGTTCACATAACCTAAGATTTGTCTTGATAGCAACAAACGAGTTAAAAATGATAGTTGCTTTCGGAGAAGTAAAGCCAACTCCAATTATTATGATCATTAGGTATATGAGGTTACGAGATACGAAACACATGTATTTGATGATGAAATTCTAAACACTGTTTGTAGGTAGATTGATACTCACTTAATATTATCATAATTGAAGAATCCGTCATCTATCATTATCCATTGAGAATACTCCTGCCATCATAAATAACCACCAGGGAAAGAGGGGACCACATTAATTCGACATAAACAAACTAGTACGCGATCACCACTCACGAGAGTCAGCCATCTTAGTCACATATAATATTGATCAGCTGATTGTTGATGTAGACGTTCCCAGAACATCCACCAGGGGGACGAGTAACGAACATGAAATTGGCCAGCAAAGGGCCAGATCTCGTTAGTATTCAATTAGTTCCAGACATCATACCATCACAAGGCCATCATCTTATTTTCAACTGATGGTTACTTGGCATAGGAAAATCTTCGGCCCATTACCAATGCCCCGGCATCGTCACTTTCCCAAACTAGCCTGCATTAGACCGGACTTCTCCCGCTAGTTCAATGTTTGCTGGGGTCGCTCACTAAAGCGTCTAAAAACGATATGAGTTGGAGAAACTCCTGACATTTTCGAACTTATTGTAGTTTTCAACCCAATTTGCTGATTTTTCAGGATATGGTAATCTACTAAACAGATCTGCTTTTCTTGCTCGACCATGTTTGGCAAGTAGATGCAGCATGATCTTTTTGATCTACAGCAATTTGCTCCACACAAACACATTTAAATCAAATGCTGGACACAAATAAACATACGCATTTACTAGACGTGTTCTAAGCATATCTAGCAACACAAACGGACAGACCTATTATTATACCCTTTTTTGTTCGAATGGAATTACATTTAAATTATTTTGGCAATCTTCTGATTGTTGAACTTGTTTTGGTTTCAGAATCTGATGAAGAAGAAGAGGAGGATTTTCCATGTCAGAAGTGCGGAAAATCTGACCATCCAGAGATGGTTTTGCTTTGTGATAAATGTGATAATGGATGGCATTGCTCTTGCCTTAGGCCACCCCTTCTGAGCATCCCGGAAGGTGACTGGTTTTGTCCACCTTGTCAGCACGTGAGTATTTTTGTTCTTCAATCATCAAAAGATTAAATGAAACACTTCTCCAACATTATACATCAATTGGGCAGTTTTGCTTCAAATAATCCAGTACATTTCACCTACTGACGATATATTTAAAATATAAATAAATATTTCGTAGTATTATTTTTATAATAAGTTTGAGAAAATAAATAATAATAGAGCTACTAATTTACACAAGAATAGATTGTATTCCTTTGAATATCCATAATCAAAATAATTCCTATTGTTGCAATGTACAGACAATGTACACTTTTAAGATACAATATTAATTTGTTTCCACTGAGTGGAATTCATTAATCAACCCATTATTATATATTTTTTCATGTATTCATGTATCCCTATTATAAACAGTAATGCTTCTTGAAGTAATAAAGACAATCAATCAATAATAATCTTTATTTTCAAGGAACGTTATGCAATTTTTATAATGAGTTCGATAAAATTAATAATAATAGAGGTACTAATTTACACAAGAATGGATTGTATTTGCTTGAATGTCCATTTTCGAAATCATTTCTATTGTTGCAATGTACAGTCGTGGAAATAAACCAAGTCACACTATCGATTTTCAGTTACTATTTGCATGTGTATTCTTGAATATTTATAATTTGATTGACATGTCAATGTCAGTTTCGCTGATTGGAATTCATAAGTCAAGCACCGGCATTCTTCCTTGTGATTCATAATAAATGAAAAGCAGTTCTCGTTAATTCTGCTACGCCTACACTCATTTGTGTTTTCGCCGGTTTTGGCCAATAGTTGGAGATAAACTGCTAGATGGTTACAGTATTGACCCACCAGAATGTTCCATCCTTTCTCAAAATTTATTTGGAAAAAAAAATTTAAGACATCCCTACAAAAGACAAAAATATCGGATACATTTGGAGCATATTTTGTTGGAACGTCCTTGGGATTTCTAATAAATCCACCAGATTTTTTTTTCAATAATGGTCTGTATGATCCAAGAAGAATATGGTGGTGAATGCTATGTGATTTTGTTCACAAGTGTGTGGTGGTTCAACAATATATTAACTCATCTATGTATTTCAAGAAATATGAAATATTATTGATGTCACATGTTTCATGTTAAAATCTTTAGAGAAGAGTTTTTGAAGATATATCAAATCATCGCTTACATTGACGAATATTACTATCAAGTGATGAAAAGCAAAACATCTACCTTAAGCCTTTCAAAATTAGTAATGTAGGTAAATTAATAAAATGCATTCAAGACAAAAAACCTTTCATCAATTTTGGCTAGAAATGGCATAGAAAATATGACCTTTCTCAATCTGCCGATTAAATATCTCAGATCATCTTGTAGAGTTCAGTCTAGATATCACTAAAACGTTTTGAGTCACTAAGGATCCGTATACAATATGAGTTACGTTTCCATTCTCTATGTTTGTCTAAGGACAAAGTCAGAATATTTCTGATTGTCATTTGCCATATGAAGTTTTGACCCAACCTATACATTTCTCTCGTTATGACAGTCCCTTCGACTCATTTGAAGAAAAAAAAAACTTGGTTGTCTTGTTGATAATAAAGTATTGTGATACATTCACCTTGGCATCGTGAACGGCTGTTTGAACACTTCAGACCGCTCGAAGACTTTGGCGCTTAGAAGGAACCTCATTTTATTGAATCCGAATCTATCATCTATCTCATTCCTGCTGAAAACTTCAGTTCTAGATAATATAATAAATAGAGTAATATGAAAATTATTGTGACTGGCGAGGACTTCATCCTCGGGTTCTTCTTGTTTGATCACCAATAAATAAATGAATAAATAATAATAAATAAATAATTTATTGATCCTTTCAGACATTTATATGTATAGGACAGGTCAGGGTGGTACTAACAAGTATATGTATAAGAAAAATTGAGTGTATAAAACAGTGATCACACAGGTTACAAACGTATATATAAAACAAAACAGATTAGATTCTGAAATCTCTATCAGACATAAACTCATCTATGCTGTAGTAGCATTTGGATACTAATAGTGATTTTATGTATTTTTTGAATGAGTGTCCATCCAGGCATTGGATGCTTTCGGGGAGATGGTTGTAGAACATAATTCCACAATAACTAGGACTTGTTTCAAATTTAGCTGTTTTATGTGATGGAATACACAAGAAATTTCTCTTTCTGGTCGAGTATGAATGGTACTGAGAATTAGTTTTGAACTTACCTATATTTTCCCTGAAATATAGCAGGCATTTGATACACATACACCAGTATGCATTAACAAAAGCTAGCGTATTTGAAAGGTGCCAATTCTTATTATTGAAAAAATATATTCTGTCATCATTTTTAATAACGACAAATTGCATCAAATACTATTTATGTGTAGAGATAAATATAAAATCGGTATGTGGCTTGAAATCTACCCATTGATAGGGATGTCTGAAAATATTGAATTTGGTAAGGGGACTAGATTTCGACCTGTAGATCTGGAATTTTCAACTTTATCAGGACAAATAGTACATATTCTTATTTCAAATTAATTTTGCTACAAGATGAAATAAACCGTTCCAGAATCGGACAAGCACATGGTTCGGAAATGAAACGGGACGATTAGGGGTGGTGCTTGCAGCGCGCTTAGTGGTGAGGATGGAAGTCGCTGGTCTTGACAGACCCGCTTACCATTCATTTATATTGAATCATTGGATGGGTGAGCAACGCGGCTACGCAGTTGAAGCCTACTATCAAAATGCAGTGCCAAGTAGTTCGAATCCCTTAAACTATCGACACTATCAAGTAGTTTTTGCCAATCCCAGGGCATATCGTTACTCCCCTCGGTCTACCGACCTTACTTTCTGCGATTTCTTCTTGTGAAGATACCTAAAAACCAAAGCCATTAAAACCAATTCACCTTCGTCTTTAGGTATCCTCACAAGAATAAATCGCAGACAGTTAGGTCGGGAGACCGAGGGGAGCAACAATAGGCCCTGGGATTGGCAAAAACCTCTTGATATCCATTGTCGAACACGTACGATATTTTCAGGGGATCGAACTGTTTTGACACTACATTTTCATAGTAGGCTTCAACAGCATTTCTCACCCGTCCATTGATTGATTGTAAATTAGTGGTAGGTTCGGTTGGTTTAGTTTCAATGTGAGTGGGGTGAATACCGACCCTCCACTGCGACCCCAGATGGGTCTATTGTGGCTCACCCCTAGAGGTTACAGTTCACTTTACAAACCACATCTTTTCACAAAGTCCATGGTTGAATTAAGTGAGATTTTTTTAAAATCGATAGGTTCTAAGTTGGTAAGGCCAAATATGTCGAACCTCAGTATCTGTAAGCAAGAGCATATGTTCAGCCGTTTCGTCTTCCACACTGCAGAACCGGCAGCCCGTTTGTTGGTTCAGACTCATCTTTCCCAACTGATATCTTTGACAACATTGTCCAGTAAGCAGTCCTGTCAGAATTCGCAGGTTACCCCTGCTCCATTCTAGGATCTGCCTGGACTTTATTTCGCTGGTTTAGGCAGGAACGCCTTCAAATGGGTCAATCCTGGTAATTCAGACCAGTGCCTGAGTATTTTCCCTTACGCCCAGTCCGGGATAGTTATTTTGGTCACACTTGCGGAGACGCCGAAGTATGATTCTGATCCTATGAACACAGATTCGGTTCCCTGTTTGGCGAGGATGTCGGCTTTCTCGTTGCTCTCCACCCCCTTATGTCCGCAGCAGAGTGACTCTATTGTTAGCACCCAGGCATTCTAGGGATTCAATACAAGCTCAATACAAGCTTGGAATTTATCTTGCTGAAGCTCAGTGCTTTAAGAGTAGTCTGACTGATACAATACTGATGCTTTACTGGAGGTCTATTCCTCAACTCTCTAGCACACAATTCAATTGCGAAGACCTCCGCCTGAAAGTTTGTAGCAAAGCCCCACAACAAGAAATCCAATTTGGTTTTGTCAGGTGATCTGGGTGGCCCCTTACTTGGCCCTCCTCTTCCAATCCACCGATCTGGAAAGGTTGTGTTGATATGGTCCCTGACTTGTGATAAATAATGCACACAGCTATTGGTAGATTTTCACATAAGTTTGGTAATTGGTTTGGCAAAAAAACTAGATACATGGGGCCATTCAAATTCCCGTCGAAAAAGTAGGGACCAATAACATGTTCACCAATAATTCCTTCCCACACATTAATTGACCATCTGTGTTGTTTATCAACCTGCCTAAAAACCCTTGGATGGTGATCGGAGTAATGATGGATGCTGTGACGATCCACGAATCCATTCTTATGGAAGGTGGCCTCATCAGAAATCAGGTTCGGTTCCCTGTTTGGCGACGATGTCGGCTTCCTCGTTGCCCAACACACTCTGTTGTTTGCACCCAGCATACTAGGGATTCTAGGGATTCAATGCTGGAGCTCAGTGTTTCAGGAACAGCCTGACTGTTATAACACTGATGTTTTACTAGAGGTCTATTCCTCAACTCTCTAGCACACAATTCAATTGCGAAGACCTCTGCCTGAAATATTTTGCGTACTTATCGAGATTGACTAAGATAAATGAGTGGTAAACCATGCGGGTCCTGACAGGCCAGTGAATTTCACCACTATTCGTCCTGTTTCATTGCCGAACCCTGAACTTCTCAAAACCTCCGATTTCGAGATTGGGTGGGAAATTTCAATGACAAGCTCAATCGATAATTCAGGTGATCCTTGTGGACAACTTGCACTCCAAGCTGGTCGAGTACGACAAGAAGCTGACGAAGAAGGGGCTGGAGGACAGGCGGAAAGAGCGCCTCGCCTACGTCGGTATCAGCCTCAACAACGTGCTGCCTGCCAAAGACCAGCAGAAGAAGAAGCGCCGACACTCGGCCGAAGGTAGAGGTGATAAAACTATCGATAGGGTCGATAGTGCACTGAAAAACTATCGATACTATCGATAGATCTATCGATAGTGATGCATTTGTTTTGTAACTTTGATAAATTCTTCAGGCGATTTCAATTATAATAGTTTGATAATTATACAGGATGTTTTAAAATTCATTACCAACATTTTTCAAGTCGGTATAAGACTTCTATAAACATTATTTCCGCAAACGCTTTGATACCGATCTACAGAGCGTTCAAATTTCAAGATTTTTTTCAAAAGAAGAGACATCCACTTTCTTTCAAATAATGTCAATTGTTTAGAAACAAACCTAAACGTCAAAATGAAAATAGCAGCCAAGGCTTCTCTTCTTCATTGTTACGTTGAACATTTTCAATAAATCTAGAGAATTACAAAATGTTTTCAATTTAATTTTCCGATAACGGTCGTGAATGCTAAAAAATCACTTGAGACTAATAAGTTTATAAACAGAATAAATAATTCATTTTGTATTCTAAAATCATCCAGTGGCGTACCACACAAAATGTATCGTTGATTTCACACATCTCCCTGGAAAACCATGCTTGCATTACTGGCAGAAATAGTAAATAGGTAATGAAAAAAATACGAATGTGTTAACCAATTTGGCTACATAAATCAATATCTAATTAAGTTCAATAATAAAACTGTGCTACCGATTATTCCATTCATTTCAAAATACACGTTTTTGATTGGTTGGATTATCAATGTTGACAATCAAAAACGTTTTGGTTATTGTATTTCGGATGTTGATTGGACTCTGGATACCTCATGCTGCGTTTTCGATTTGGAATTCTGCTTCCTCAGTGGTAGTTTGATCAAATATAAATCATAAATACTTACATGCAGTGAGCTGTCATGGACATTTATGTAATAATATTTTCATATTCGAAAATAATTAATACTCAACACTAAACAAAAGACAAAATCGTGATAGGTACTCGTTTTCAATTTGTATGGAGGAATTTTAGGCTAACTGTATGGTCGGCATTGGAAACATTTTTGATATCAACATAACCTCTTGAGTACAGTGACATCGCTTACCTTTACTTGGCCTCCCTAATAATAGTCCTGATAAATTCCAACGACAACATGACACTTTGTATTGTTAGTTGCATAACTCAACGACTGTAAATGAGAATACAAATCAAATTATTGCTTTATTTATGAAATGATGAGTGAAATGGTCATTTTCATCTGGACATTGGAATGACATGAATCCACACTAGTAGAGACCAAGATGTGTTCCTACAAAATCAGTTCTAAACATTGAACATTCTGTCACTGATAGATGGAAGATCGTAACGAAGTTGAAGGTTATTATTTCATTTTTCTTCATTTTATTATTTCAAAAACGGTTTCAGATCCAATCGAAATCCAAACTTATTTATTTTGTTCCAATGTGCAAATGAAAACCAAAATAATTTTATAGGCTTCTACAAAATCAGTTTTTTACGAAAAAAATTGAAGAACTCTGCAACTGTGGAGTCAAATACAGAAAACAAGAAACAGTTGTGTATCAATTGAAGGGGCAAGTGGAAGAAGGGGTCAAGTAACATTATCTGAAAATATACGGTTATGTCATGGAAGAAGATGTTACGTTCATATGTAACTTGCCCTGTCAGAATTTGTTTCTATTCTTCATATCTGAGTAGATACGATGCGATGCGATGGAAGAAGGAGCTATGTGCCCATTATCTACATGACAGGAAATGGAAGAAGGGGTTTTGTACGCATGAATCCAGATGTCTTTCAAAAAATGATATGATAGCAAAATGCGGTAAATCATAAAAAAACTAAAACTAATCCTGACAATTGCATAAATCCAATTATTGAACTAGCTTTCATTAAAAAATGCCAGCTAACTTTACTGAAACCTATCTTTCTCACAAACTCATATTTAATTTTGTAACATGCCACTTGCCCCTTCAATTGCGATAATGCATACGAAAATGCAATTATTGAAAAGAGTGTGTCCCATTTAAAACAACTCATCATCAGCCGATATTTTGGAATTCGAACACCCTATAGATATGAAAATAATTTTAAGTGACTGAGGGTCTATTGTAACGATAAACGGAAAAAAGTCTCTATTTATCGGACGATAGAGTGTAGTTCGCACGCACCCTTATCGCTGTCTGGTGGGATGATTCCACCACTGGCATAATTTTTATTGAGAAGCTAACATAATTTGCTACCACCCCATAAAATTCAGAGCTCTATTAATCGTACGTTGCATTGACTTTTCTCAACCGTTCATGGTCATACCACGGCCGCCTCCACGGAAAACCTGCCTGACATCCCGATCAGTTTTTAATGATGTGTAACGGCAGTAAAAGAAGGTAGGAGATCTATTAATCGAACAATGAAATTTGTTGTCAGCTCTCCGTCTATTATAGACCAGGAGATGGTGACAGGTGACGTTATCTCATTTTACACTGTATGCTTTTCAAGGGTCTATAATTAACCCCCAAATATGAACAATAGACGGGTTCCTTGCCACCGCACGTGTGCACTTCATAAGGAAAAACGATTTTAGTTTTGTGGAGAATTTTCGTGTTTTTCCGCGATATTATACTGCCTGTAGGAAGTTGAAACAAACTGAAGCGCTTATAATTGATGGCATAGAATCCGCCGAAAGGGTTCAAAAGGGTTACGAAAAACTGAAGAAAATTAAAGGAGACTTCCGTGTTTTCAAATTGCATGCCGATGTAAAGTATTGAAGTTTCAGTAACAAAAACACTCTGGAAAAATTGGCATGCGCCCCTCGTCTCACCAACGTTGGAAAATTTCGGGAAAACTGAAGTACAGGTTTATTCCAAAGTGCATGTCTCTATTTTGCAAATACTGGTGTGCATACCAAATTCTAATGGCATGCGATTTGAAATCACGAAAAACCTGTATTGCATTTTTACAGAATTTTCTCGAAATTTTCCACCGTTGGTCAAACGAGGGGCACATGCCAATTTTTCCGGAGTGTTTTTGTTGCTGAAACTTCAATTCTTCACATCGTCATGCAATTTGAAATACGGTAAGTCCCCTTTAATTTTCTTGCAGTTCACGTTGACTGCAAAGGCTACATACCGGGAAAGCTCAGTAGAAAATATCACATTCATTCCTATTCCAATGTTTAGCAAATCGACAAATCGTCGTATCGTCCTTAAAAACGGAAGTTTTTCAACTGACTTCGCATAAACTATACGCACGATGCTCCTCGAACATGATGAGTTAGAGTTCTCCTTTCGTGCGCCCCAAGCGATTGAAAAAAAAATACTTCAACTCTCTACTATCGATTGTTTGTTACCTGTAGCCGAGGGCAGCGCGTCCAGCTCGCAGCGCTCGGAATCGTCGGCGTCGGAGGAAAGCGACAGCGACGAACCGATCTACCAGCTGCGGCAGCGCAGACAGGCGAAGAGCTACAAGTTCAACGAGTACGACGAGATGATCAAGAACGCGATCCAAGACGAGATGGACGAGAAGGAAAAGGAGATCGGTAAGTGGTTATTGTTGTGAAATTAACTTGAAATGCGACCAAACGGTGTGATCCATGTTCTCATTCAAATCTAGGGTCCCTTGATGTAAATTGATGCATTTTTCATCTTCACACCTCAACAGCTTCTCATAATTTATTTGTTTATTTATTTCAGTTATAGCATTACATTTTTTTCTTCTTGATACATTTTATTCAAATAATATATAAAGTATAATTAATTCTCTAGTAGGAATGCCATTAATGATCAGACAGTAATACCTGGTATAAGATCATTCATTCATTCATTCATTCATTCATTCATTCAAGTATTATCGACTGTTGTATAATTGAAATTACAAATAGTGAACAAAAGTTACATATCTCTGAGATATCTCAAAATAACTGTCATATTATAGTGAAGATGAAGGGAAAAAAACAGTGAAGAAAAAAAAAAAAGAAATTCATAGTCTTTCAGCTTTGATCATTCCTTTGTTGCATATAAATATATTTCTCCACTTTATTTTTGAATTGTATAATATTTTGGCTGTTTTTGATATCATCTGGTAGTTTATTGAATTTCGAAATCGCCTAATGTGTAAACTTCTTTTGTCCAAGTTTAGAATTTGCAGCTTCAAGATGAAACAAGTTATATTGTCTAGTGTGATGACCATGAATTTGGGAATTCCTAATTAATATAAAATTTGATTTAAGCTTTTTGTTGATGATATAATAGAAAATGTTGAGAGTATTAATTGAAATGTGCTCTTCCAAAGAAAATGTGTTTGTTTTCTTATATGAGTATCATATGGAAGACGATACAATACTTTCAATGCCTTTTTATATAGAACAGAAATTTTGTTGAAACTATTTTTGGAACAAGATCCCCAAATATTTATGAAATAGTTAATTCGACTGAGTATATGTGAATAGAGAATAATATTTGATGTATTTGTTCTAAGTTTAGGACATCTTCTTGAAGCACCAATAATGGGAGATACTTTTCCTATGAGGATGTCAATATGCTTTTCCCATGTTAATTTCTCATCAATCCAAATACCGAAGTATTTGGTATGGGCAGTTTGTTTCAAACGTTCATTTTTGATTCTAATATTAAGATCAATATTTTGTTTATTTCTCTGACGAAAAATTATACAGTGTGGTCATTTAAGTGTGCAACATATGTAAATCTTTTTAATGAATCGCAAAACCAAAATACAGATAGTGCCGAAAGTTGTTGCATGTTCCGTGATCATTTTAGATGCACTTAGATTGGTTCCTAGTCAAACATCATACAGGGTAAGTCAAAAAATATAAAAATTGCTCAAAAGTAAAGTACCCTCAATTCAGAAAATTCAGCAAAATGTTATCGAGTAAAGATGTTGACAATTGGAAAATATTCCTAAATACCAGAACATGGCCTCCTAAGACATTTTTTAGTTTTTCAATTTTTTTCCATAATACTTTCCTAATTCGTAATTTTTTTCTATTCACCCTAAAACTTTTAATAAGTTAATCATAACAAAATCAGTTAATCATACCTTCGTTCAAATTCAAGCATATTTGTGCAATTAACTTGGATTTTAATTTTTTTAAGGGAATCACAAACTTTATGTTTGTTGCAACGATATTCAGCTCAACTTTAAATTTCGCAAACCATATTTTTATACCGTACACCGTTTTTCAAAATTTAATGGAATAAGTTTCCATAGGCTCTATCTTTCACACTTATTGAGCAAATGGAAACTTCGAACGCAAATATCTTCGTAATCATATGAAATAACTTAATGAAACCTGGTATTGTTGAATTCGTTATAATAATTTCTAACCGATTATGGAATAAAATTGAAGTTATAACCAGGAAAACCGGAAGATGAAATAAAAAACCTTGATTGTGAGAAAGTGCCGTCCAATGGGCCTATGCAATGTCCCAAATTTTTGAAATATAGCTATGAAACAAAGGGTGTATACCATGAGTCTGTGTCACCCGGTAGAGAGGAAATCGTCTTCAAGGTTTAAATTTAAAGGGGTGTAGCTCACTCAAGAAACATCTTCGGATCCATATTAATAGGAACTGTTGCCTTATTTTCATGCTAGGATTACCCCCCTGAAAGGATGCTGCTTACTTTTGTTTTTACCAGACATGGTTCAAAACAGATAGTCCGAAACAAAAACGAATGAGAACACGTTGGCTACTAGTAGTCGGCTTCGTCTCCTATCAGATAGAAGTTGGTGCGATTCTAAGGACAATTATGCCCCATGTATAGATCAGTAATAGATATATGCCCCCACTACAGTCTACAGTCACGTACTAAGAAAATGCGGAATATTTAGAAGATATTATGTACCTGTTGACTCATTGTTTTCAAATGGAGCAATTTTGAATTTGATTCAAATGTTCAATACATTTTTGGAAAATCTCTTTTATTTCCGACAGTGTCCGAAAAATGTGCATTATGCAAATCTACCTATTGATTGTTACATGGAATAATAATTACAATAATTACAATCAGTACCCAAGGCATTTTTTTCATGATATCTTAGTTGATTTATTCATTGTGAATACTGTAAGGGAAGCAAATGAATCCAAAGAAGAGTTGAATTTGTTTAAAGTTTGTTTATGTGAAAAATTCAATACCAGTCCAGTTGGCCACTGATTTCATGAAAATATCAAGGGAAATTCGCAAGCAAGACGTGAAATATTGTATGCAACAGGTTGTGCTGTCATATTAATGTACGGTGTTCCTGAGTTTCTCATTTATGGAATATTAAGTTGTTATAAATAAAGTGATTAACTTTGAAAATTCCATACCTCTCAGGATGTGATAGTCACCGTTTTTTTTTTTCAGTTCCGCCATCAAGAGGCAAAGATATGGCAACTATTGTTAGAGCTGATGAGCAAGATAAAAAAGAGAGAGAAGCTGAAGATGATGAATCACTGAAAACTGAGCCAAAAGTTACACAGGGAGGCGAGGGTGATACCAAAGACAAAAAAACAAAAACTAAGAAGGAAGAATCGGACAAAGAAACTGAAAAACTAGTGCCAGTGTTGAAAACAAAGAAAAAGATCAGAAAAATGTGTAGCTTGGATAGTAGTGATGGCGATGATGACTCTGATGAGGATTTCAAAGGCAGCAGGTGATATATTTCTTCATAGCTAGTGTCCACTACAGAAAGTGAGACTAATGAAATGGGTTATTTATACTTCTTTGAAATCATCATATTTTCATCTAAACTACTCAACACTAATTTCGTCGCACACCAAAATGTCGCCCCTGTTATAATGTGAATAACTTTTTTCAGTTCAGAACAATTTGAATTTGGTTCACACTGTTCGATAGCCCAGTCCTTCAGCTATAATCTCGTACTTCATTGAAACATGAGGGTATTCACATAAAATCTCAACATGGTGTTTTCCGACACTGGGCAAAATTTCGGAATATTCAAAAGGCTCTCAAATGGTGAAAATTTTTTTTTCTTAACTTCGACAACAGAGGCATGAAGATGATCTCATTACCTCGAGATGTTTCGCGAATCAACTTCCTATCTCTCTTATTTACAGAGTGATCTCAAAAAATCAACTTCTTGGTTTTGCAGCCATAACTTTTTTCCACGTCAACCGATTTTAGAAATCTTAGGCTCATTTTGAAGATAAAACTTCAGATGAAGAGATCTGAATATTAGGATTGACTCAAGATGGCTATCAGAGATCTAGAGTTTTCTTGAAAGTGACCCAAATCTGGAATGCCCTCCGAATCTCGATTGGGAGGAGAATTGAATGAAAATCAACAATTCATTCTGGATGCGTCCATATTTTCCTCGCTCTCAGTAGTCAAGAAAGTGCGTGAGAAAACACAATTGAAACATGTTCTTGCATCAGACACATCAGATCATTTCTCCTATGTAATGCATGGCCCGTAACCAACGTTACAAGAATCACAGTAAGTGACTGACAAGTCAGGTTAGACGTCGTTTTCGAATCATAAACAGATTTCGATAGTTTCGATGCCTCATCTAAAGCGAATGTGGGTGACAACTTTGTTCTCGTTGATGACAATGCGAGACCGCATAGGGTTGTTGGTACATCATTTATGATGAGCCTTAGCTGGTCGGGTTTGTCAGTCCATTGTGATTCTTGCAACGTTGGTTACCGGCCATGCATTATAGAGGAGAAATGGTCTGATGTTTTCGCAAGAACATGTTTCAATTGTGTTTTCTCACGCACAATTCTTGACTACTGAGAGCGAGGAAAATATGGACGCATCCTGAATGAATTGTTTTTCCGAGGACAAGTTGATTTTCATTCAATTCTCCTCCCAACCGAGATTCGGAGGGCGTTCCAGATTTGGGTCACTTTCAAGAAAACTCTAGATCTCTGATAACCATCTTGAGTCAATCCTGATATTCAGATCTCTTCATCTGAAGTTTTATCTTCAAAATGAGCCTAAGATTTCTAAAATCGGTTGACGTGGAAAAAAGTTATGGCTGCAAAACCAAAAAGTTGATTTTTTGAGATCTCTCTGTAAATAAGAGAGATAGGAAGTTGATTCGCGAAACATCTCGAGGTAATGAGATCATCTTCATGCCCCTGTTCTCGAAGTTGAGAAAAATTTTTTTTTCACCATTTGAGAGCCTTTTGAATATTCCGAAATTTTGCACAGTGTCGGAAAGATTTTATGTGAATACCCTTATGTTTCAATGAAGTAAGAGATTATAGCTGAAGGACTGGGCTATCGAACAGTGTGAACCAAATTCAAATTGTTCTGAACTGAAAAAAGTTATTCACATTATAACAGGTCTAGTAGTTTCAAGTTTTTTCATTCCTAAAACTGTGAAAATAAAGATGTGCCAAGTTTTTTTTGTGCCTTTTTAATGTAATATTTTATTATTATAATTTTATTTTTAACGAAGTGTTATGAAAAATATCGTCATTACACGTCCAGAAATGATTTTTTCGTGCATGCATAATCATCCCCTATTCTGCTTCGCCTCACATGAGAATTTGTCACACTTGCACCGAAAATCCCTATTTTCAGACTCGTAATGAACTATACTATTTTGTTTGGGAAAAACTATGTTGCTTCAACTCCTACGAAAGTTATGTTGATGGAATATTTGATTTTTTTTTTTCAGTTCGAGTTCAGAAGAAGAAGATGACTTTGATGAAGGAAGTGACAGTGATGATTTACCTGGTTCCAAGAAGAGACATATGCCGGTTCGAAGATCTACACGCGCCAGAGTTACCAAGTTTGATACAGATTTTAGTAAGTTGGTTGATATTTCATGTGCAGGCATCAATTTAAAAATAATCAAATTTTCCGGCGTTGACATCTGAACAAATTGGAATATAACTTCAATTTTGTTGTAAAATCACTGAAAATTACAATAACCAACTTTGTTTTCAGTAAATGATGAATATGATGATGATGTGCCTAAAAAGAAGAAGAAAACAAAATATTTTTCCGAATCAGATTCCACTGAAAGTGAAAATTCTTGGGGTGGAAAGAAGAAGAAATCAAGGTAATACTTTCGAGTTTGATAGGTCTTGGTCAATATCAATGGCTTATTGTTTATCATATAGAAAATACAGAGTTAACCGTAACTAATAGCAACAAATTATTTGGAATCGAAAGATTTGGCACAATGAGCCTTAGAAACAGTTTCATAGCAACGGAAGAAGGTCCATGGAATACTTTTTGTACTTTACTGATAATTATGAGATCAAACTTTCTCACCTTACGTGAAGATGGATCTTAATAGTATTTATTTACACATTACGCAAATTTTAGAGTCAAATTACCAAGTTCTACGAAATTATGACTCACACCAACCTCAATATGTTTATCTCCCCATCTCTGACGTAATAAGTATAATATCTCAATTTTTCTGTAGCCCACCTCAACCGATTATGAATATAATGATAATGAAGAATTGATCTTCATATAAGGCATTACATATAATTATTATGTTTGAACTTGACATGCGGTTTGTTAATTTGATCTAGAAGTTATAGGGTAAATTATAATTATTTCTCACGCCCTGTAGCCATTAATCGAAATTTTTTAAGTGTTGAGGCGCTGTGATCAATGAACAAGTTGAATGCAGCAACTTGAAATGTGAACAGTAAATTTACAATAAATTAAAAACCTCATTTTTTGTTTTATTTCTTGGATCACTGATTTCAAAACATGTTTGAACAGCAAGACATCATATACATCAAGAAATATAATACATTTTCCAATATAATTATAGCCAAAAAGTTTTGTTTGAAACAGCTACATATGGCTTTTCAAAAGTTGGAATTTGCTCAAGAATAATAGTTTTGGATTACGTAAATGATATTTTAACGTGTTTACACATGATTGGATACGCCTGAAACACGGGCAGATAAAAAAAATGCTGTCCAGGAATAACAATTTTGTTAAATCATTGACTCATTGTGCAGTGAACATTTCTAGGGGGATCACCAGTTTGTGTGAGTAATTCTATTAGATATTCATTGGGGCTTGTACACTTAATGACAAAACTTGAACTCCATGGCTGTGTCAAGTCATTTGTTTGACCACAGTGAACATACCAGGATGGTCAATGGTTGACACTCCCATCAAAAGTTAACGTGGTAACTTTGTGGGCAGGTGTGAAACGTGACCAATATTCCCAAACAGTTGATTGGTCAGACTTCATAATGAACGTATGTGCCCGGTCAAACCACAGACTTGACACAGCCCAAGTCTGAGTTCTAGTAAGAAGCACTAGGCTTCTTTTTTAAAACACCAAAAACTTTATATATTTCTAAAAAAAATTCAGTCCGAGTTTATGGAAATCTCATAATGAAAGTACTGAAAAATACCGTGTGTAACAGGATGATGGTACAACACTTTTTTCCCCTTTAGCTTTAGAGATAAGTAATTGAACTCTGGCCTGACCCTTCAACTTGATAAACGTCACGCTTTGACAAAAACATGTTTTATTTTTTACTTTCAGTTTCACCGAAAAAAATTGAATCCTGTAAAAATGTAAAATTTCTTGATTTAACACCAAATTAAGTGTACCATGATCCTGTAACACCCGGTATACCATTTTCTTAGAGTTTTCAGCTAATTTCATCATGATGTGATGATATGAACAAAAAAGGATTTGTATACCTCAAGGTTGAACTTCTAATAGATTTTACAAAACACTGATATTTATTATTTTTTTAATTCAGTATCTTAGGTACAATCAGATGCAAAGAAAATGTCGTGGTTGAATGATGCTGGCGCTCTTATCGCAAAAGTTACTAGTGGTGCTATCAACGCCCATGTGCGACATGTGCATTGCATCTGACTGTACCGGGTGAAAAACTAAGAACGACTGTCATTTTTTTTTATCGCTTGGAGCGCACGAAAGGCATTACAATTCAGGAGATTGCTACGGTCTCCGCATGTTTTTCTCCGAGTTTCCTTGGCATAGAGTATGCTTTGACTTTGAGGATCCTTCACAGTGTGCTGTGGAAATATCCGAGATCATCATGCTCGGATAGGTCACATACATACCTCATTCTTCGAAAAGATCATCACCATCGAAACCCTGGTTCAACAAAAACTGTTCTAGAACTGTTGCCTTGAAACAAACAGCCTACCATCGCTGGCGCAAAAACCCTAACCTCGCGACCAGAGCAGAATATGTTGATGCCAGGAATAACTGCAGCCAAACAATAGATGCTTCGAAAGAAACATACAATGCCAAGATGAAATCGAAACTCATAGATTGTCCCAATGGCTCCCGTTCGTTTTGGTCCCTTGCTAAAGCGGTCGGAAGGAATTTCACTAGTAGCTCATTTCCACCACTGTCCAAATCCGACGGCACATTAGCAACAACATCGCAGGAGAAAGCAAATATTTTTGCAGAGATGTTCGCAGCAAACTACTTCAGATTCCCAAGGAAAAATGCCGCCAGACATTCCACCCGTTGAGAGTCGAATGCCCGAAATCGTCTTCCGTCAACGCACTATCAGACGAATTTTGCTTGGTCTCAAAACGAATAAGGCTAACGGTCCTTCCAACTTTGATAGTTAATATCTTCCGTTGGCGAAAAGCTATCATGTTGCGGTTTTCGTTGGTCTGTTGAGATTTAGTTTCTCTATTACATCGTGTAATGATATGCATACCATTAGATTTATTCCATTTCAAACTTGTATTCGTTGCTGAGATATGGCCGACACCCGGAACACACTGTGTCTTCGATGCTTTTGTCATCTTTTGGGCGATATCTCAGTTATCTTTGGAGATAGAGTTTTGCGGTTTTCACTTTGGTGCCCTACATTTTTGTGAAACGAATAATACCGCTAACAAAATTTTCACAGGCCTTCTTGTTTTTGAGAAACAGGGTGAAGTTGATAAAAAATTCTCACTTTTTAAGCACATCCCGTACTTTTCAGTTCATCGGCAGAATGAAAAAAAAAATGAAACCAAAATAGTTATTTGTTGAGAGCAAAATTCAGCAATTATATATTTTTGATGAGCTATAGAAAATCTGAATCGAACTGGATAGAAATATACAGGGTGTCCCATTTGAAAAAAAAAAATACAGTTCTACTTTTATTGATTCCTATAAAAGTTATTATTTTATTGAAGCATTTGATACCCAAATATTTTGCGGAATTCTGACTCACACTCAAGCGAGAGTAGGGGTGGTATAAAGTATCTTCACCCCGAGTAGCGTAATTATGTATATCAGGGTTTTTTGGATATAGGTGTTTATTATCATAGATGAATAACACTAGCTGTAAACTGTAGAGACACGGAAATGGTAAGATGCTGATTTTTTTGAATAGTGGTTTACAAGAGTCCAGTGGACGAGCCTTGTCCATACAGCGAATGACTCTTTTCTGAACCATAAAAATGCGGTTAGTATATGCAGAGTTACCCCAGAAGATTAATCCATACTGTGGCGTAGATTGTACCAGTCCATAATACATGAGGTTTATAACTTCTTCCTCTTTATTCATCTATACCTTTTTCTAATAGACCAATAGGATACACTTTATCTTCGTACGAAGTAATGCTTTTGTTCAGTAATTTTTCTGAGACGCTGATTTGACTTCAGATTTCAAGGAGTTTTCACCCAAATCGCTGGTATGGAATCATAGGATACCTCGAAAAGTGATTTTCTATTTGCTAACTCTGGATTAGCCTAGTGGCGAAACGAAGTTTTGTCCATTCGGTTTATTTCGAGCCCTGAAAACTAGGACATTGTTATTGAATTAGTATACAGTTCAAAATAATCATTTTTTCTTAGGTTCGGTCATGTGAAGAAGAAGAAGAAATCCAAAAAGAAGAGCATTCTTGATGAACTGGATCTAGACCCAGATACAATAAAAAAAAAGAAACCTAGAATCAAATATGGCGGTCTGACAACCTCAAGTGAAGAAGACATGGGTAGAGGTAGAAGAACAAGAGGAAAGAAAACTACCTATGTTGATACCTTGGGATCTGACAGTGAAGAGGTGATACTTATTCTTATTTACTATATGCGAAATAGATTTAACTCATATTTGTTATCTGCATCTCGAATTTTTGAACTTCATCAAATAATTATATCAATTTCATGCAAGACATTCATTATTCACTGCCTCATGAACAAATACTTTAAAACGAGTCTCACAATAAATAGCTTCCCAATGGCGAACTTTGCTCCAAATTGCCAACATGAAAACCTCTACCACTGTAGAAGAGATCTATGGTAGAAGCAATATTATCGAAGTTTAATCACTCAAATAGATTTATTTTGGTGAAATCTGATTGTAGGAGTCTATTGAGCTTCCTAATGAAAGTTATTCAGAAAAAAAAATAGTTTTTGTGAACTTCTTGTTGTAATATGTTGTTTTTATGTTATTTTATTATAACTTTTTATAATATGTCTGGATGACAAAACGTATATTTATTTATTAAACAAATCAATCATGTTGTTACTTGATCATAAAATTATCAATATATACAAAGTGTAGAATAGAAATGTCTTCTCCAACACCCCTTCTCATTTCTGGTCTACTTCTTCAAGTCTACGAAGTCCCAATCCAGTCATAAATTTGTCATGACCGGGTTTAAATAGTCCTTTTGTTAAAATATCAGCAACCATTGCATTAGTTGGTATATACTTGACATCCATCTCACCCTTTTCAAAAGATTCTCGTACATAGTGATATCGAATATCAATATGTTTTGTGCGAGAATGATATACTGGGTTCGTCATTAGTTTCTGTGCCCCTTGATTATCACAATAAATCATTGTGGGCTTTGATGAGGTATATCCAATCTCCAGTAAAAATTTCCTCAGATATGTAACTTCTTTCGCTGTATCACTGAGTGCCATGTACTCTGATTCAGTACTGGATAGTGCAACACTCTTCTGTTTCCTCGACTCCCATGTTACAGCTGCGCCAGCGAGTTTGAAGACATATCCTGTATAAGATATTCTGTCATCGAGATCTCCTCCCCAATCAGCATCTACGAATCCATGTAATTCTTCAGTTGTCCGTTCAAAGAACAATCCTACTTGTTCAGTTCCATTCAGATACCTCAACACTCTTTTTGCTGCAATCCAATGAGGTCTCCCAGGATTACTGTTGAATTGACTCAGAAAACTGACTGTATATGCAATATCAGGGCGTGTAGACACTGCTAGATACATTAATGATCCAATAAGTGACTGGTATGGTATATTTTTCATTTCTTCAACCTCTTCTTCTGTGGATGGTCCCATGCTCTTACTCAGTTTTGCATTTCCATCAAGAGGAGTAGAAATTGGCTTTGATTCTTCCATATTAAACTTGGTTAAAATATCCTTGATATATTTATGTTGACACATAAATATGGTTTTCGTCTGAAAATCTTGTTTGAAATTTATACCTAGGCAATAATTCAAAAATCCTAGATCTTTCATCTGGAATTTATTCGATAAATCTTGTTTAATCTTCTGTAAAATATTCTCGTCATCGGTAGCAATTATCAGGTCATCAACATAAACAGCTATGAATACTATATAACTTCGTTCTTTCCTTACGTAGATACATTTGTCTGCATCTAGAGATTGCATACCAATATTACGTAGATGATCATCTAATTTAATGAACCACTGTCTTCCAGATTGTTTTAAGCCATATAGTGATTTTTTCAGGTAGCACACAAGGTGTTCTTCTCCAGGTTGGACGAAACCTTCAGGTTGTTCCATGGAAATTTCTTCTTCCAAGTCCCCATTTATGTAGGCCATAACAACGTCGAGTTGATACAATGTTAAACCAAACTGAGCTGAGAGAGCAACGATTATCCTAATGGAACTTTGACGAGCTACAGGAGAGAATGTTTCATGAAAATCTATCCCCTTCTTCTGTGCATATCCTTTAGCCACTAATCTAGCTTTCCTGCGAGTAATTTCTCCGTTTTCGTTATACTTTGTTTTCAGTACCCATTTGCATCCAATGGCATCTTTATTTTCTTTTCTTTCTGCTAGAATCCATACTTTATTTTTGACAAGAGCTTCGTATTCTTCATGCATTGCCTTTTTCCATTCCTCTGCATGTGGACCAGACAAAGCTTCATCTACAGAGGGATCTGCAATATCCTCATCAGCGAGTTGAGCTTGATGATCAGATGATGACTGCATTTCAACCATGGTATATTTCTTCCTAGGTCTACCTTTGGAACCCGTTCTGACTATACTAGGTCTTCCTTTCCCCCTCTTAAACTCGGTCTCATGACTTCCACTTGCTTCAATGTTGATATCTATGTTGCTTCTTCCATTGGACTCACTTTCTGTATTGATTTCTCGTTCATTTCCTTTATTTTGTTCATTTTCCTCAAGGTTTTCTTGAATTTCATCAATTGTATCAGTTGAATCTTCCTTCTTGCAGTTTTGAACATCGTCGAATTCATAAAACATCATATTTTGATCATTTTTGATGTTTTCATCAACTGTTCTGAATTCTTTGACGAATATTACATCTCTACTGATTACAATTTTCATTTTTTCAGGATCCCACAGACGATATGCTTTTGATTCATCAGAGTAGCCAACAAAAATGCATTGTTTTGATTTTGGTTCGAATTTTCCCCTACCTGGAGCTTTATTAAGAACATAAGCTTTGTTTCCGAAAATTTGAAGATGGTTGACAGTTGGTTTAAAATTATTCCATACTTCAAAAGGTGTTACATCTTCTTTCAGACTTCTCGTTGGACTTCTGTTTCTGATATACACAGCAGTTAACACAGCTTCCGCCCAAAAACGTTGAGGTAGGTTAGATTGCAGGATCATGCACCTGGCCATTTCGACGATAGTTCGGTTCATCCTTTCTGCTACCCCGTTTTGTTGCGGCGTGTAAGCTACAGTGTGTTCCCTTTTTATACCACATTCGTTCAAATTTTTCGTGAATTCAGTTCCGAAGTATTCTAAACCATTATCGGTTCTGAGAATCTTTACCTTCGCTTCTTTTTGATTTTCAGCATATGTCTTGAATTTCAGGAATGCATTTTTCACATCACCTTTGGTCTTCAGGAAGAATATTTCAGTCCATCTTGACTTATCATCAATAAAAGTTGCGAAATATAATGCTCCGCCGATTGATTTTGTTCGCATTGGACCGCAAATATCGGAATGGATAAGCTCCAATATTTTAGTCCGTCTGGATTCTGACAATTTTGGAAATGGTTTCACAGTTTGCTTACTTTGTATACAAACTTCACAACTAGGTAGTCTGGCAGAAGATTGCAGTGAAAAACCTCGCACCATATTCTTCGTTGAAAGTTTCCTCAGATCTACCTCATTGATATGTCCAAAACGGTCGTGCCAATCCAATAGTTCATTGTTTTCAGTAGTATTCAATGCAGACGAACATTCTATTGGCTGAAGATAATATAAGTCGCCCATTTTCTTCCCTGATATAATTGTTTCACCTTGTTTATTGATGATGTCTGCTCCACTTTCAGAAAATATAACTTTTCGTCCAGATTCTGTTATTTTTGAAACTGATAAAAGATTTGCTTTCAGTTCTGGTACACAGAGAACATTTTCCAATCTTATGTCTTTTGTTGAACTTTCCTTTTGAAAAGTGAGAAACACAGTACCTTTTCCAATAACATCTGTGGTTTTATCGACAGCTAGTCTCACTTTCTGATTACAAACAGGAACCATATTTGAAAATTTGTTTTCATCACGACACATGTGTGAGGTAGCTCCACTATCCAGACACCAATCTGCAGCCACAGTTGTTTCAGTATTCATTGTAACGGCTATCGATATTTCATCTTGTGAGATTTCATTTACTGACACTGACGTAAATTTTTGATTGATATCTTCGACATCTATTAATGCCAAAAATGCTTCAGCATTTGACGTACTGCTTTGTCGATCTGCAATTTTCTTTCGACATTCTGAAGCCATGTGTCCAAATTTGTTGCAATAGTTACATTTGTACAATTTTCGCCTTGTAGAATATTGTGAACTTTTTGGATTCGGATTAGACTGCACATCTCTCGATCCAGGTTTACGTTGAAAGCGACTGTTGACGAAATGTGCGGAATTAGATTCATCCTTTCCTCTTCTTGAATGAAATTCATCAATCAGCTTTATCCTTAAAGCTTCAGGCTGTGGCAAATCATCCCGTGCTTCTATGGCACATCGATAATTTTCATATGAACTGGGTAAGCTATACAGAATCAATATTGAAAGGAGGTCGTTAGCAACTTCAATGTCCATCTCTTTAAGTTTGTCGACTGAATTGAAGAATTCATTAAGATGTTCAATCATGTTTCCATCTTCTGACATCTTTGAGAATAAAAGTTGTTTCAGCAGTGTAGCTTTCCTCACGGGTCCTCTTGATTCGTATACTAGTTTGAGTTTTTCCCAAGCATCTAGCGATGTTTTACAGTGCTTTATATGACATAATTCAGATGAGCCAATAGCTAGAACGATATCTGAAAAGGCTTTCTGGTCATTTTCTTCCCAAGCACTTAATTGCTCAACATCAACTGGTTTTACTTTCTTTCCGCAGACATATGCCCAATGGTCGTTTTTTATCAGAACAGCTTTTATTTGCAGCTTCCAGGTATCGTAATTGTCTTTGCTAAGCTTTTCTATATAAACTCCACTTCCTGCCATTACTTCCTTGTTGGGATCAGCCTAGCTTATATGAAACTTGCAGCTTACAGTAGGTAGATAAATGTGATGTTACAGCTTACACAGCAAATCAATTACAACTCAAGCGAGACTCTCTGGGCTCATAACCTGTTGTAATATGTTGTTTTTATGTTATTTTATTATAACTTTCTATAATATGTCTGGATGACAAAACGTATATTTATTTATTAAACAAATCAATCATGTTGTTACTTGATCATAAAATTATCAATATATACAAAGTGTAGAATAGAAATGTCTTCTCCAACACTTCTCATCTGACTGGTTGAAAATCATGTTGGTGCTTCTGGGGTACGTCAATACTGAAATGTCAAAACTTTCAATAGTCTCAGTAGTGTCACCAGTAAAAAATGGTATATCAATGAATCACTGAATCATGTTCAAACTTTGAATAAAGATCAAGAAACTCTCATGAGAAACGTGCAAACCTATAATAAACTTTACATCCAGTTTATTATAGGTTTAGATTTGAGTAATAAAAACTTCTATATAGTTGCTTCTACATTGGTAGGTTTTTAGGTTACGAACTTGAAGCGAAGTCCCCATTTTACATTTGTTATTTGTCCGTAGGAAAGAAAAAGGAGAAACAAATATGCTAGACGAATAGTGAGTGATGATGAAGATGATGAGGATTTTGTTGCTAATGAAGAAGACGAAAAAGACAGTGATGAAGTAGAAGACGATAATGTTGGTGAGGACCAAGATGAAGATGAAGAGGAAGACAAGGGCGAGGACAAAGGAAGGAGAGCACCATTTGTTCCAAAAATATATATAAAGAAACCTCTTGTAGCAAAGGAAACGGAAAAGAATTCAGAAAAAATTGAAAATAAACCATCAAGTGAGGAGAAAAATGAAGAAAATGATAAATCAAAGGAGGGCGAAAAAATTGAAAATAAGTTGATTACAACTAACAACAAAACTGAAAATGATGATGGTAGTAAATTACCGCCTGTAGTCGATGAAAAACCAGAGAAAGTCATTGAACAAATACCTGAGAAACTTGAATCTAGTTCTGAAACAAAGCCTCAAGAACATGAACTCAAATCTGGAAAAGCGAGGACAATAGAGAAACTCAAGGAAACACTTCAGAAATCAATATTGTCTAAAGAAATTAGTATTTCTTTCAAATCGAAGGAAGGAAACCTTGAAAAGAAAGAAGATTTGCACTCTACTGGCAATCATATGATAGAAATGAATAAAAATTATGATAACATAGCTGAGATAGAGAAAATGAAGGAGGAAGAAGAACATGCAAATAAGCATCTTCAAATGGTAGCTAGGCGTCTCGAAATGGAGAAGAAAATAGCAACTATGGGCAGGGAGTTACCGAACTCAGTGATGCCAACCAATCTTGCCATGGACAAACTACAGCCAGCGAAAAGAGGAAGGAAACCGAAAGTAAAGGCTTTTCCGTCTAGTGTGGCGCACGAACCTATCGTCAGTAATGTGGGAAAAATGATCAGGAATGATGATGGAAACGATGAGCTATCAGAACCGCCTATGGGAGTGAATTTACCTTTCTTCGACGAGTTATCAAAAGATGGCATAGAGGACTCGCCGAAAAAGAGGAAAGGAAGAGGTAATAATAGCTATATATCGAAGACTGTAACCTTTCGCAAGAATAATAAGGGTAATTGCATGAACAGAAATGAAAGTTTTCAGTATCAACGAATACTACACTGTTTTAAAACTAACCAAACCGATTTCCTATAAGCCTCGACACGTGTTTCGCTAACTATGTTAGCATCTTCAGGAGAAGATTGAAACTAAATATTCTATTCTATTGTGCTACTTATGTCAGGTGTATGTCCACCCAACCGATAAATACACTAACCGCCAAGTTGATGTTTGTCATGGATGAGTTCACATGTCCACCTTAATCTTATATCACTAAACTATACAGGTCCATTATCTTTATTCAGTACTCTATTACTATTCCTAAATATTTCTAGGCTTCATATGCGTCTAATTTCCTAATATTATGGATGACGCCACCTTCATATCTTCAGTAGTTTGAAATAATACAAAAAAAATTTTAACGTATCTGTATCACCTTTTCTAGTAGAAAAATCGATGTCTAACATTTTTGTGAGAAAATATATTCCTTGTAGGGGTCGCTGCAAAAGTCCGGTTTTGAGGAATTTGGATTTGAATGAATCGACGCATTCAAATTATTTTCGTGGGGCTAGTGAGTCGCCTCTAAGTAGTGAATATTGGAAAAGATTAACCAATACATTTGTCTTTCATTGAATGGTATGCTACATTCAACAATTTGAATGTAGTCAAACATTGATTCTTGATTTTTTACATGGATTTTTGGTACCCTTTTCCAATTCAAAAATAGATATTATTTATGTAACAAGTGTGTGAAGTGGTTAATTTTTATACGATTAGGAAAACATATTGACGCGAAACAAACATGGCGTACTTTTTTTGAGAGTTGCATCTAGTATGTGAAATGATACTTTTGCGTTTAAGAATAAAAATTATTTTACCGAGCCACAGCCAGGCAAAATAACCATTCGAGAACGCAACAACATTTCAACAATTGCTTCAATCATTATTTCTATCAATAGCAATGCGTAAATCTAGCCAATCATTTGGTATTATACTGATAGCACTGCATGTTCCTCGATAAAACCTGAATTTATTGAACTGTCAAAATTAATCTGACTTACCAGTGTACGCCATCTTGTTTCTTTCGACTTTCCTTATGTGTAAGTAACAATCATAATGAAATCAATTACCAATTCTCCAAGAAAACAAAACGTAACTTTTAATCGTCATTCAACTTGATAACACATAATGTTTCATTAATTTCATTTTATCCGATAATTAGAGGCAAAATCATTCAATCAAACTCAATCAATCGATTTGTATGCATATATTTGTCAAATATAAAACTTCATATAAAATTAAAAATATTATCGATAAAATGTTAAAGGACTCGTGGTATTACCCGATTCCTTTCTCAAAATGAAATTAAAGAAGCATAATTTTTATAATTAAATCATCTGCATGGATTATTTCAAATCGAAATTACTCGAAAACGGTTGTTCGCGGAGACGTCTACAAAAATTATCTTTTTTCACAAAAATGTTTGAGAAATCGATTTTTCTACTAGAAGATGTGATACAGGTACATACATACACCATCACGAAGATTCAAACCAACTTCAAAATTGATTTTGTCATTGAAAAATACTCCCAGATAGCAAATTTCACTCTACTATCACGACTATTTTGGAATGTATTCACAACAAAGAGAAATTAGAATCAAACTTTGACACTCTGTATCTCAGAAACGAATAACTTATCTTCTTATTCTGACGTCAGCAACATGCTCCTATATATTTTACACATACTTGAAAAACACACCCTATATATTGATCTTCCGCATTATCAGATACGCGAAATGGGTTGCGTGCAAGAACTGTCAGATGACCGACTCTGGAGGCACATTGAAACACAACCTCACTTTTCTTATTTGTTTACAAGTGATTGAAATAGTTTTTCACAATTATTTTGGCATAGGAATCGTATTTTTTGGCTATTCATTAATTCGCTCATGCCATCACATTGTGCTGTACAATGCACAAAAACTGCAGCAGAAGACTAGGGAATCCTGTTGGTACATTATGTTTCAAAAGTAAGTACCTACTATAGTCACTCACATATAGTTTTCATTTTTGAAATTTGGTAATTTCTCTTATTTCTCATCGGAATTCCTTCTGCAATAGGAGCTAATAGAAAAACACAGGAAATTTCTAAAATAATGCAAGAAGATTGGATTCATGCAATCAAACGGGAGGACTGGTCTGACATGCTGACGAAATATGATCGTGTGTGTTGTAGACGTTTTCAATCTATTAGCAGTATAAGCTTGTATTGCAGAAGTGACAGAAGAAATTCCGATAAGGATAACTATGTGAGATCACTATTTACCTGAAAAATCATATTCCTTCGTCTCCCGCTGCATTTTTTGTGCATTGTACCATAATGCGGAGGCATGATTGAATTAATGAATAGCGCAAAAAACACGATTCGTTTGCCATGATATTGTGAAAAACTATTTCAATCCTTTGATTCCTCTGTAACCACATAAAAAAGTGAGGTTTTCTGTCAATAATCCTCAGAAGAATGAGATTGTATTCCAATATTTTGCCCCCAGAGTCGGTCATCATGCACGCGACCTATAGAAAATGGCTTCAACGAACGTTCATTGAAAAAAAAAATGTATCTCAGGTAAGGGAAAGAAGACCCTCGAAGACTCGAATCTATCCGCCGACTCCGCCCAGCCGCCCGCGTGCAACATCGAAATCGCCGCGCCGCCGCAGCCGTTCTCTCAGGCCACGCCCACTCCTTCCGTCATCACGCGCATGTTGCAAACGAAGCCCGGCCAGGCGACCGCCTACCCGGTGGGGTTGATCCGGCCGAAGCGGTTCGCGACGATGCCCGACGACGATGACGACGAGGAGGAGGCCACGCCGGTCGGCAGAGGGGGAACGCCCACGACCGGCGGGCGGCCGCAAAGGGTGGGCGGAGCGCCGTTGGGGCAGAGTTGGCCCGGTGCCGGTGAGTAGACGGATCGAATCCGTTGTTATTGTCGTTTCGATAAAATGACAATTAATACAGAAATATTCCGGCCTCTGATGAGACGCATGACAATATTTGGTGCGTCCTGTCTCCAGTTGCTGTCAATGTATCGTAATTGCATAACACCGACTGCAAATGAAAATATGACATGAAACTATTGTTTCATTAATGGAACTGAATGGATGTCATTTCGGATATTCAGTTTAAAATTGATCAACATTATAAATGCGGTCTCTTGTCTTTAGATTTATGTAAAGCTTTCGATACTGTGAATCATGATATTTTACAGAGCAACATATATTCGATAGTTATCAGAGGAAAAATATTTGGTTGGTTAAAAAATTATCTGGAAAATTGAAAGCAGTATGTTGAAGTCAATAATATTTGTAGCGCCATAAGGGAGATCAAAAGCGGTGTACCACAAGGTTCCGTTTCAGGTCCAATTTTATTCAACACATTTCATTACGAAATAAAAATATGGCCGAAAGAAGATGATAGATTTTGTGCTGCTTCCTCGATATCACTTGAGAAATCAGAACATGAAACAGCCATTTTCCACCAATGGAAATATTGAATGAATCTATTTCGTTGCTGATTTGTGACTTTTTCAGTATTTGGCGAAGACTTGAAAGTGACAGGCGAAGTCAACTTGCCTCCTGAAAATGCTCGTTTTTTATAAAGTTACCACGGTAACATCAACCCGATAAACGTGGAGTCTGAAGATATCAATATTACTAACAAAAAATATTCAACCATTTCACATTATCAGTTGCTATTTCCATATTCATGGGTAACTGGTCTTTCAAACACTTGCTCACATGTATTTCGAAAATGAACGTGATAATGATGGCCCATTACTGACACCGACTGCTGTGATATTTCGTGTTGTCAGATGATTTGTCTGAATTACCGAGAGTATCTGCTAAATTAAAAATAAGTATCTCTACTGTATGGAGAATATCTGCCAAACAGGAACATGGTAATGATTTGGCTGGCCCCAAAAAGAACAGAAAGAGAAAAACCCTTTTAGACCTTAATGATGGTGAACAAGTCGTAATTAGGAATTGTATCTATGACATGTATGAGAACAGTCAGTATTCTCACTGGAAATTAATGATCATTTTAGGTAATACCTATGTGTTTGATTTCGAATAGAGGAACACATTACATTGAAAACATTGACAGATAAACTTGCTGAACGTTATCTCTTTAATGGAGGCATCACGTCTCTCTGGAAAGTGTTGAAAAATATTGGCTCCAAGTTCAGGAAAGATGATCCACGAAGAGGAATGATTGAACTACTGGGCGTCAATTGAAACTTTAATAGTGAAATTTGGCATCAAGTTTGACTTCTCGTAATTTCTAAAATATTGAACGAATTTTGAATTGCCGCCCTGATTCTGAATGCCTTTTTCATCGTCTTCCGAACCATTCCTTACAGCTTCTTCTAAATTGATCACTACCCGTGATACACGGTCAAAAAAAGTTTCGTGTATTTTGAAGAAAATTTCTCCGCCCCCCCATTTTGTCGGAAGACCACGATGCTCATATTTCATTCGGGCATTTCATGAATAGCAACCATACCTCGGGACATTTTCGAGTTTTTGCCAAAAACTACGGAGGTATGGTTGCTATTCATGGAGTGCCTGAATAAAATATGAGCATCGTGGTCTTCCGACAAAATGGGGGGGGCAGAGGAATTTTTTTCAAAATGCACGAAACTTTGTTTCACCCTGTATCACGGGTCCTGATCAACTCAGAAGGAGCTGTAAGGAATGGTTCGAAAGACGATGAAAAAGGCATTTAGAATCTGGGCGGCAATTCAAAATTCGTTCAATATTTCAGAAATTACGAGAAGCCAAACTTGATGCCAAATTTCTCTATTAACGTTTCAATTGACGCCCAGTTTACCTTACATAAGCAGTGAAGCATATTACGTTCCTGGAGACATATACTGCCCATTGAAAAATGAAGGTTTCAGACAATTTGTTTTTCTTGATGAGACCTGGATCTTTCAGGTTGGTACATTAGGACACTCATGGCAAGACTCCAATGTCAAAAGTGTGAAAAAAAAACAAAGTAGGAGGTTCCAGGTATTTTTCATGATTCTCATGAATAAATATAAATTGCATTATGTGATTCATATTATTAATCGTCCTACATACTCGATGTGAAGATGGATTCATTCCTGGTGCAGAATAAGTATTTTCTTCAAAAACTAAACATGAAGATTATGATGGAGAAATAAACCAAGATAACTTTCTCCACTGGTTTGAAGTTGACATATTGACGTCACTATCAACTTAGCGTGAAAGCCCTTTATACTATCATACAATATAGCCACTTTCTTTTTGATGTTTCATGCACCTGAGCAGCCCAGTGTTAGTTGCACATGAGCTACTCCAAAATAGAACACATTTTAGTGAACTTTCACAATGAACGCCCCTGCGCATGCGCTTTTATTGTTTACCCTTTGGAAATATTGAAATATAGCCAATCTATGTTGATAATGTCTGATTCTGGAGACGAGCATATCATAATTATTATTAGGAAATGAACAATCCTGATACATGAAAATATATCGTCGAAAATAACCAATTAACCAAAAATAGCTTGTCATTTCACAGTGACAGAGGGGTAGGAGAAGGTAGATGGTGTAGCACGGTGAAGCACCGGGGCTTCAAGCACCAACAAATAGAAACGTGTTCCTGTCCATTTTTCATGCTCTGGGGTATCTCCGGTGCTTTCCACACAGTTGAATAGAAAGTGGCTCGTAAAACTTCGATTCATTAAAAACTATTCAGATGCCGTCATTGTACCTATGTGCAACAAGCGTTTGCCAAATTCAACACCGGTGTCAACATCAGTTAGCATTTGTAAATGTATGCCCACTCCAAACGCTCACTGGTCTCAACACTATGATCGCCTCTTGTGTTCAAATCTGTTGACATTTGTAAACGCACTGTTTTCCCAAACCCTCACTGATTTCAACACCCTGGTGTCAACATACACTAGCATCTGTAAATATGCGTCCCTTTACCGATATACAGGCGGTGTGATATAGTTTTTTACGTTTTGCCACTGAGATTCTTTGACACATCTTATGAAAGATTTCGATCATTCCAGGTTTTCTATACCAAAGTATTTGGAAATATCAAATAGAGGGTGTTTGAAAATTATTTATTCATTCACTATTTCATTTTTGGCATGCATCTCTAAATCTATACAGTTTTGGAAAAACAAACAATAGAGCATAAATATCCAAGTAGAAGAGATAATTTAAATTGATGGTTCATTGAAAGCAGAGACACACCACAAAAATGTATACCATTAGTGTATCACCGTGTTGGTAATCAAATACGTTCAATACCCCTAATTATTGAGTTTTTGAAGTGTAATAGGTGTACCAAATTTTAATTCACCATTTTGAAATTGTACAAAACAAACTGAAGAACTGGAAGAAAATCTCGAACTTTGACAATCTGTATATATGGCATAATACTGAATAAACCCACGAGTGAAATACTTGCGTATAATCAGTCGTAAATAACGTACAGAAAACTACACGAAATAATGGCTAGCGTCATTGACTGGTGGCATAATCAACTATTAACTTGCTTGGTGGTATTACTATCAATAAATCAATCAATTCAATATTCCTCTGGAACTTACAAGAGTAATAGGACAAGTCAAAAGTAAAAAGGCTGTCACAGCAGCATAATTATGGAAATATGATATTATAATAATAGGTACCTAGATGCTTCATTGATATCAAATTAGAAATGGAAATCATCTTATTTTCATTTCTGTCTTTGTTTTTAAAGAATGAGTTGAGGAGAAGAGAACTGAAAACATTTTTTCCCTAAAATAACAAGTTCCAATTCTCCTGAATTAAATATGATGTTCCTGCCCATTTCAGGTACCAGAGGCCCTGCACCATACGGACCACCTATGTTTCAAAATCACTACCCAAGAGGCATGATTCCACCACATCAGATGCGTGGACCTCCCCCGTCCAATCCCCACGTTCCTTCCCCACCTGCTCCCCACGGACATCCTGGTGGTTCCCACGGACCTCCTCCTGGCGGTTCCCACGGACCTCCTCCTAGTGGTTCACATGGACCTCCTCCAGGTGTTTCACACGGACCATCTTCAGGTGGTCCACATATCCTTCCTTCTTCTGGTTCCCATAGACATCCTGGTGGTTCCCGTGGACCTCCTCCTAGTGGTCCTCATGGACCCCCTCCTGGTGGTTCCCATGAACCTCCTGCTGGTTCCCATATGCCTTCTTCTGGTGGTTCTCATGGACCCTCACCTAGTCAACCAGGACCTCATGGGCCTCCACCACCACTACCTCCTGTACCACATGGATCTCCTGCAGGTATGTCAGATTGATATTTCATATTAGAATGAAGCATGAGGCTACATGAAAATCTAGGTTCATATCTAAGCTTGACAACTCCGCCTAGGTAGACTACTCCTTTCACAGTTGTGATTCAGGAATCGTTAATTGTAGTCAATATAGATTGAAAATTTTGACAATGTCGAGTCAAATTCAATGTCATTGTGCTGCTGAAATATGCCATATTCTAACCCATTTCTGAGTCAAATTATCAGCCGAAACACCTCGTAGTTCAGACACTATTTTTTGCAAAATACGCAAATTTGGTCTATTTTCAACTTGTTCTAGCTCCCCGACCGTTAGTCCTTCATTCATGAGCGAGTACAATTATATATGACAATTTCATCTAGTTCAACTTTTTATAGGGTGGTCTTTTCGTTAATATGTATAGTTTCCGAAGTTACGAGTAAAAACCTGAAAAAAGTGCGAAAATTTCGCTGTTTTTTTGAATATCCAGGACATTTTGTTTGCAAACTTCTTATTCGGATTCAGCACCCTAAAAGTCACATGAAACCGCAGAGAAACCGAGTACTTTAATTTTATCCACGAGAGGATCTTTATCGTTACCGATTCACTGAGCTAATAGAGCTACCCTCATTTGTATTTGTCCATAATACTTACGTAGCTTCTTTAACTTAAATTCACCATTTTCTTGGACTTCACTTTATATAAGTGATTATATAACTTTCAGCTTATACATGCAGGGTGTCCCCAATTTGATCTTCACCATTGGGATCTTTGTAATTATGAGAGATAAAAAGTCGATTAAATAATGGAAGTTTCAGCAAATTCAATCTTGATTCACAATCCATTGAGAAATCTAGACTAGCTTCAGTCATTTTTGTGGTTTTCTTAAATAACTCAGAAATGACAGAGGCTAGTCAAGATTTCTCGGCGGATTCTGAACCACGACTGACTTTGCTGAAACTTTCGTAATTTAACCGACTATCTATCTCTCACAGTTACCGGGATCCCAATAGTGAAGATCGAATTTGTGACACACAATATTATGTTGAACAGAGATAATATAATAGTCCTCAATCGAAACACAATAAATCACTGTCGAATACGAAGTTGAAGAATACACAAACAACGAAGCTGAACGTTTGAAGCCCCAAAACAAAATGAACATACACACCTTCACCAAACAATATAAACAATAATCCGTCAATGGCCCATAAAGTAGTACCGACATTCGTCGTTCTGGCGCCACGATCTTAATCTCAATCGCCTAATCTCCATTCCAGCTATGCACCCGCACCTCTTCCACCAACACAGACTGATGGACCCGTCGGGGCCGGATGGCAACGTGTCCGCCCAAAGTCCGCCTCTGATGGTGCCGCCTCCCACGGGCAGTCCGGGGGTCAAAGGGGAGCCGCAGAACTATTCGAGGTCGGCCGCTAATCGGTACCCGCCGGCCGGTACGCCACCTAGCATCACAGGTAAGCAGGTTGCATACACATTACACAGAGTAACTAAACTGCTGTTCAGCATTGATATGAAAATTGAAATGTATAGGAATACTGAATATATTGGTAAGTTATCGTTTCATTCGCGATTCCGTTCCAGCAGCCACCCCACCGCGACCGCTCCACCTCCTGCCCCCCCACCTGCAGCAGCAGCCCCCGCGCGTGCCCAGTCCCTACCCGCCCAACCCCTCGGGGCAGCCGTCGCCGGGCTACTACGGCGGCTACCCGGCGCCGCCCGAGAACGCGGTGCCGCCCGAGCACGCGGCGCCACCCGCCGAGGGTTACGAAGGCGGGCCGCCCTACGCCGAGGAGTTCGAGGGCGGGGAAGGGGCGGAGGCGGAGGCGGAGGAGGCCGAGAACGGGGAGGGGAAGCCGTTCGAGGGCGGCGAGGAGCCTAGCGGCGAGTTCGGCGGGCTGGTGTCGTATTTCTCCAGCCAGTGGGAGGACGACTTGGAGTCATAGTTTGTGAGTAAACGATATTTCATTGTTGGTTCAGGTTAAATCGAGTACTTTGAAAAAATATTTTATGGAGTGGAGTGCAGGGCACATAACTCATAGACTTAGAAGGCTTAAGGCAAGTATGAGAAATCGCAGAAATCTGATACAACCAGTGTGCTTACGGCAATGGTGATCATGCGCAAATTGTCGGCAACATTGTCAGCTATATATTGTCATACGCAAAACTCATATTTATGCATTAGGATGTTGTTCATATTTCCTACAAAACTTCTTTTAACTGATTATCAACAGCTCTACAAAAATCATATGAAATTTCTACGACAAAATTCACAGACTCACTGATATTGATTGAATGGCTAAGAAGAGATCGATGATTTATTGTCAACTTTTCTCACGAGTTCATCTGGCAACTGTGTGAGAATGTGCCTCTGTCATTTTGTCTGACGTAGACTCAAGACAGAGCCGGATTAGTTTCAGTTTTTCAGTGTTCCGCTTTGCGTTCAAGTTCTTTCGTTAGTAAATTTGAGATTATTAAAGAGGTATTGGTATTGGTATTTCACTCTAGTTCGAGTAATGGGTGTAGTCATAGTGGCAAGAACAGTACTTATTTGATTCGACATTCATTGACTGATTTGTGTACAGTGTTTTCAAAATGAATGATTTGGTGAAAAAGTGAAAGAACGAATTCCAGGAATGTCTCACTTCAGGTGAATTTATATCGTCAACTAAATTTGTGCTGTTACATATTTTCTTTCTATAGCTAAAAAATACAATGGCTCTTGTTTTACTTGTTTGATAACACAATTATGTACTTTGTATGCCTACAATGTTATTTTCGTATCTGCTATCACAATGACATTCGTTGTGTTATTATTACACAAAATTCCATCTTCTATGGAAATGTCAAATTTCAAGCCCTGATAGCTCTGTCTCGTAGCAGAGAGAAGAGAAAATGCTAATTTCCCACTCCTATGATTTGAAGCACTTTTGGGAAGTTGAGTCCTATTTTTTCAAAGCAACTGAAGAGTGTCTTTCTTTCTGAATTGAACAGGGAATTTGAGAAAATATCTCAATTCTGAAAAATGTTCAGTGGTTTAATGAATAGTTCAGCAAAAGAGAAACAACTCTCCTGTATCTTCTCCACTGGACAATTTTGACAAAACTTAGTTACATCAGAAAACGATCAGAGTAACCATTTCATAAGTATTTGCACCAAATTTTGTTTTATGTCCTAAGAATTATAGTAAGAAAAAGATTTTTGAAACTGGACTTTAGAGGAATGTATCATCCTGGAAGAGCTTTTTAAAGAAATTATAATATTCATGCCGGTTTATATTTTGAAGAACCATGATGAATTATTGCTAATATAGCCTGAACCACCCTGTATATTAGATCGCTCCTTTCTATCCGATGAACATTTCAGTTGATGGAAAATACATCGAACCATTACTCCTAATAACATGAAGGAATTCATCCTGAAAATTATCATATGAATTTTTCACAATGTTCTGCTCTTTCAAGATAGCCACAAAAACCTGGTGATCAAATAATTCTGAATCCGCCCCTGGCATGGTCACGTCTTTACTGCGCATGCTCGCATTTGCCGTGCGAGCCACGTTAGGGAACACTTGAATAGAACGATATTGGCCTTCTAGGTCTTTGAGTTCTGTGGTAGAGACTGGTACAATGAACTATAGTTCAGTATATCACCTGACGAAGCTACTGTGTTAGCGAAACATGTCGTGTGTTTGAGAATATTGTGGAAATCTTATGGATTGAGAAGTTTTTACATTAGTCTGAAAATAGCTGACGAAAAATATAGCTATCGAGTAGCTAGTGAATAAAGAAAATAGAAGAAGACAACTTGGAGTCGTTAATATTTCATGAATAATAACGTTGATCAACCATCTAACAAAACAACTGAAAACTGTGAACATAGGCTAATAGACGAATAACTGGAGATCAAAAATTCAAGACAAGTAAAACTGCCCCCTTACGAGCAACCCTCAGAACTCTTCAAGAGACTTGTGCGAGCAAGGAATGACGGGGGCCTCACCTTTTAATGTGTAATCTTGAACACTTTCTTATGCCATAAGAAACATTTCTGCAATCGGGGATTTGAACTCACGATCGGCAAGCGAACGCGATAGATTCGACCATGCGACTGCTTGGCATCTTCCTCTACATATTCAGAGATGAGTTCAACCGTTTATCTTTGTCAGTATTTCATTCAGACTGTGTAATAGGAGATTATAGAACAGTAGAACGAATAAAGGATAATGGATACTGAAATAACATGACATATTTTAAGATAGATGACTGATAGGGAATTTTATGAAATTTTTTTACCTCAAGTTTTCGATTCATTAAATATACAATAAAAAATCTTTTAAAAATTAATTCAAAAGTAGTATCGAGGATGTTCTATCGATTTCCAATTTGTTTCCAGTTTCTGAATTCTTGTAATGTTGGATACTGAATATTTTTGCGTGATTTGTTGCAACGCCCCAGAATAAGATACCCCATGATACTGTGTGTACAATATTTCAAAATTTTCAAATTCGTATGAGTATTCCACTTGAAAAAAACACCAAGTTATCAAGAATGATGGGAAAAATGTATTGTTTGTGTAGTGTTTCGGAAGACTATACTCCGAGAATCCTAGTAATTTAACTAGGAACAAAAACTACACAAATCGTTCTTCAAAAATCTATTTGACAACAACCTAACAACATCACAATTGTTCCTTACCCAAGGCAACCTTATTCGTATACAGAGCGATAGATATATATTATATTCTCAATATACCACAGTTTGTGAGGTTTTTTTACAATGAATCAAGCATTCAGAAACTTGGAAAGGAATTGGGTATTGGTTGTGGAAATCGAAAATTATAATCAATCAATTGTGATGTGAAGTTTCGATTTTACTTTTTGATTGTCGACAAGTTTAGTTTCCCGGCTAATTTGACAACAAAAAACATATGTGATAAAATTTAATATTCCCTGTTTGATTGCTCTATTCACTGCTTATCAGATTATTCACCAAATCTTTCTCTTGCAAATTAAAAATATGTCAATTCCAGATTCTTTGCAGGTAGAAGTTAGTTACTTCCATCATCACGAAATTTTATCCATTTGAAGCCTCCTAATAATTGTACAAGTTGGTGAATTCTATGGTTGATCTATTATTTAATGTACAAAATTCTTTTATTTATGTAAATAGTTGTATATAGAATTTGTAGACTTGAAAAGTGATACAGGAACTGCATAATGTATGATATACAAATTATTGGAAGGTGTTTCAAGATATCATTGATATATCATTTCAAATTAGGAAATATTTTTCTATGATTTCAATTGTATTGAATTTTTATAATTTTAAAATCTATATCTATGGATGTGAGGTTTCAAATATATGTTTGGCCTATTTATTTTTGTGTGCAATTCTGTTTTATAGACTTTATTTATTTAGATGTTTTAAATTTGAAGCACACTTGAAATATGTGTTGATTCTTCATTGTACATTCTTTATCTATTTTTCTATTTGAAATTTTTTGTGTAAGGAATCTACATTACAAATGTAATAATAAAAATTAATTAAATCCATAACTCTTCTATATAATGAAACCAAATAAGTGTATCTTATTTGACAACATAAAGAGTGATTGAACATTCGATGTAAATATCTCAAGGACGTATTGTTGGGATCAAAATAAGACTTTCTTTTTCTTCGGAGCTACACCCACAGGAAGTTGGGTAAAAAAGATAATCTGAAATTGTGATCATAATAACGTTGTTCAATTCCATTCCTTACATTCCATGCAGTTTCATGAGTTGAAACGAGGGAAATATATATATATGGGTTATTTGGTAGAAAATATGTTTATTACATCAACTTTTATATTTCAAACATAGGGTACCTACATGGTGAAAAAATCCAATGTAACAATAACTTCACAGAGCTAACAATGTCATAACAAAAGCACTCGTATTTTGTGCTTCTTTATTTACAAAAAAAAAACGTAGTCAAGGTATATAAAAATATCAACCCAAACAACTATTCAAGTAAATAAATATATTCTACTCCATCAGTCTATATCAACAAGGAATTAACAATGAGGATATTCAATTGCTCAAAATGTTTGTATGAGTGAACATGATTATACTTTCGAGTTATTGAACACCCTGTGAAAAGCAAAGAAGTCCTACTTGAAGATATAACGGATTACAACACGTGATAGCAAAATTTAGAGTGGACCAGAAGGTAAGTCTTTTCGTATAATGAATTGTTCAATATTATATTCACTAATTCTAACTTGAAGTTATTGCAATGTGAGTCTAGATAGTTGAGTATTCATTTAGGAAAGTTGAAACAGGAGTTCATATAATGATACTATTTTTGTAATAATATAAAATATTAGTATTAGTTGAGAGCCATCAGGAATGTGTAACCCTGAAAATTAATGCGGAGATATCCAATATAGAGAGATTGTGCAATGGGATTTGACTCATGAAAGTAAAAACAGAATTCTTCCAAGTTGAGAATTGTATTTGTCATATTTTGCCCCAGAAAAGCAACTTAGAAGGTGTGGCAACTAACAATCCTTTGCGAATAAAAAGTGATCTGTTTTCTGCATAAAACCATTGTAAACGTATTTTTATTTTTTCCATCTCGAACTTTACTGCAGAAAAAGTTTCAAATAATAAGGCTACATCACGGAAAACATATCAAACCTCATAAAACAGTGGCGTACTATACATTTTTCATAAATAGATCATATGCTTTTCCTTCTGTGACGGCACTGGGATGAGTAGGACAAATTCATTCTGTATAGCAAGAACAGAGCATTTTTGTACCTAAATATCACTTTTTCCTCTTATTTTGATGAGTGCTATATCCAATTGGTGTTTGGCAGATAAAAAATAAAGCACCCTGTACAGTAGGTACTTCTCTCCTAATAGTAGTTGATCATCTCATTTAATGTTTTATGTTTCTCTCTGCTTTTGCAGGGTGAATTCTTGATGGTTCTCTACATCAATCTATTTATTATATAAGTTTCAATGAGCTCTATTCAATAACATTCTGATACGTGTAGCACAAGGTTTATTGATTTTGTTCACAGTAATCACAGTAAAGTTCAAACGTAAACCAATATCATTTCCGATATTTGTAATTCTGCTGAAATCCTTGATAAGAGGAGCTGTTTGACCAAATTACATACACGTTTAATATATTCATAATTGTCAGGAATCGATTTACCATCAATAATGGACCCTCAGCTGTATAGTGGAAGACTAAGGAGAATATTTCATAAATTCATATCAATTATTCAGGTAGTACCTATTCTGATATACAGATTGTCTAGAAACGTATCGAAACTCTTTCATATGGATCGACAAGACAGCTTATTCAGACACAAATAGATTTTACTAGTGTATGTTGAAATCTTAGCCCAGTAATTCACTTTATGAAGCCACCATAAAAAGCTACACATATCGTCTTTATTGCCTGAATCCTAAATTTTCGTAAGAAAAAAACAAGACATTGTCCTGACTTGATGATTGAATTCATTTTAATTTCTCTTGTATGGAATCATAAACAGGCCCAACTGTTGAGGTAAAAATAGATATTTTCTCGAATCAAATATTCCATTACTTGTTTTGAGTGAAAAATCGACAAGGGTTACTATTTGTATACGCACTTTTTTAGAGTTCTTATCTCAGATAGTCAGATAAACTCCTCTATTGATTCCTGAAATATTTCGATACGTTTACCTACAACCTCTGATTCAGAACTGATTTCCTGAGAGATAATGACACTGAAATATTTGTCTGATCGTTGAATTATTCAAAATGCCATGGGATATTTTATCAAACACGGAATTCATATGAAACTTAGACAATTCCAATCACAATTCGCCCTGAATCACTCTCATATAAAAATGAATACTGAAAAAAGGCTGAAAGTAAATATTAAAGTTGAATAAAAAGGGTTGCATGGTTCAAATATACCAACCAGTATGACTGTCGCCTTTTCCAAGAGATGCAAGCCATTACTACCTCTTATTGAAATTTTAAGTGGACTTATGCACACTGCTTTTTCAATAATATGTTGCTTTCGTTACTTGTCATCAAATTGATTTTCACTTGAGGAAATTGAAACTCTTCTTCATGACCAAATAACAGCCCTCAGCGTAATTAGCCCGATGATTGATTTTGTTTTCAAAGTCTGTGTTAAAAGATAAAAGTTAGTAATCTTTCAGAGAATAATTGAGGGAAAATGATAATCAATTTGGGTGCATGATTAACGTGTTTCAACCTTGTGAAATTACAGATTAATGAGAAAGAAGTGTGCATAAAACTTACATAATTTTTTCTGCTATAATCAACTGAAAAGAGCTCATTTACATACAATTTAGCTTTGGATTTGACTACACAAAAATGATTTCATCCGGTTTACATGGGATGGACCTTACTCATTTTGGAGTGTACTCAGGAACATTTCTTAGGGTCGACTATTTATCAGTAACAAAACACAATAATGGAAAATTTACATATGAATACGGTTTTTGGCTTATTCAAAAAATGAAATACTCTCATATGTTAATGAAATCCACTTCTCACGTAAACCAGATATGTATTACATGAAAAATAACTTAATGGAGGATTAAAATAAAGTTAAAAAAATGTGAATATCAAAAAGAAAATAATAAAAAATATCTTGGCAAGTGTAAAAAATTGGTCCTTAAGGTATTATTCAAGAAAAATTCCTTCTCCTTTCTTTGAATAACCATGAACTGTTTATGAGTTCCAAACTTGAAACCACTACCATTCTCAGAATAAATGGCGAGATGCCAACAATCAATATACCCTGTATACAATTACAAATAAATAATAAAATGCAGTTTGTGCGTGAATTTCTTTTTGAATATGTACGTTCCGACAGAGGAAGAGATATAAAAACCGAAAAAACTTCAGTCAGTTAATAGACGAGATGGTAAGAGTAGAGAGGCCCTTTTTAATAGCTTATATATACAATTAGGCCCTAAGTTGACTAAAAATTGAGTTGTTCTTAAATACTATTCGAATTAAATATGTTCCTTTAAGCATGACATGCAGAGGTTTGGCATTCACTAAAGTCTAAAGCCACAAAAATTTAGAAATATTCATTTCGATAAAAAAAAGTATTCTGGTTAAGTGTAAGCAGGAGATCATTTGACATTCAAAGAAAACAATTTAAGTTTTTAAACGTATTAAGAACAACCTTTATATATTTGCACAGCACTTTCGGCAGTAGCCATATCACTAATATAATTTATTGCAATAGTGATGTGTGATCCTAAGTATTTCAGAAACAGTTGATATATTGAAATTCTACTCTTGCTGAAATCTCATCACAGTAAAGTTTGCATAGGTACATAGACAACAACTAATTGATAACTTTACTGGTTTCACAACGTTCCATTTGGTTATCTTTTTGGCACAAAATTTAATGACTAACGGACAGCCTGATAACTCATCGTCATGTCATGTTACAGTAAAGTAGTTCTATCTCAGGAAACATCATGGTGCTGGTGCCTCGTCTTCTTGTTCGACGAAAATGTGAACCAAGTACCTACTTTCCTTCCTAGAGAGTTATGAGAGGCTGTGTTGAGTTGAAGAGTTGATCCCATATAACCCGAATCATGTTTAAAGTTTTTTCCATCTGAAAAGAACGACATTTTCAGAAATTTAAATGCGCAAATAATCAATAGGAAAACAATCTGTGCAGAAAAATTTACAAGTTTCATATATGGCAAACTTCGTTTATACAGAGTGGTCTTATGTTAGTATACACGGCCCCGCTGATTTTAATAGGAACAGTACCCAGACAGCACTGGATATTCCTAGAATATTCTCTAAATATGCTAAAAAGGAGGAGTATATTCCGAATATTCATCGATTATTCCTAGAATATATACATGCCTCTGGAACATCTAGAAGGAATATTCCAAAGTGAATAGTCGGATATGTTCAGAGAATATTCAGGTATGAATTTTCCAGGAATATTCTCAAATGGATATTCTCTCTTGTATATTCATGAAATATTCCCAACTGAATGTTCTGTGGAGTATTTTCATGGAATATTCTCAACTGAATATTCTGTGCGGTATATTCATGAAATATTCCCAACTGAATATTCTGTGGTGTATATTCATGAAATATTCCATGAATATTCCTATGTTTCTCAACACATAAATACCCATCATTATTTCAGAGTTGTGAGTATCGAACATCAAAATTGGATGTAAGGCGATTTTGAAACAAAAAGTGTTTATGATCCGATTTCGAACAACGCTCTCACAAGAGATTGATATGTACAACATTATTCAATTCGATTACTGGCCTAGTGGTCAAGGCGTTGGTCTGATAGTCTTGAGGTCACGAGTTCGATCCCTACTTGGTTCACTTTTTTTATTTTAGAAAATGTTTATTGGAATATTCCATGAATATTCAACATGGAATATTCTTTTGGATATATTCTATGAATATCTGAGGAATTCCCATTCGCATATTTAGAGAATATTCCACAGATATTCCGGAATATTCCAGATTATTTCTAGAATATTCCAATATTCCAAAAGGAATATGATAAGGAGATTCATGGAATATCTGGTGCTGTCTGGGTAGAAACTGTTTCCGAAACGGTAAGAGATAGAAATTTGATTGAATCAGACAAAAGTTGCGTGATTTGAACCTCTTCAATATGACGCAATTTCGCAAAATGTCAGTAGTTCTGGAATTATTTTGGAAAAACTGAAAATCACTGATTTCGTTTTTATTTCTTTAATTTCTTGGTTAATATTAGAGGAAACAATTTCAAATCCTATGTAAGCAGGTATAATTAATCTTGACAAATAAGTTGGGTTCTGTGGTTGATCGAGGAGGTGGTCATTATCCCGGATTTTTTGGGATTATCTTGTGGTGAGGACAAATCAGATGAGTTGCCCAAAAATGTCACTGACACTTAGTATTGAAAAAGGTTTGGAGTAAAGAAATATAGGTATATAGAAAAATATCACTCTCAGTTATCTTTGGACGTTTCGGGAATACTGAGGAGAGTCGAAACCTGTAGATTCCTTCATGAAACGTCCAAAGAAAATTTGATGTTTTCTATGTACCTAAATTTCTCTTCAATTCTTTTTCAATATAAAGTGTCACTGACAAGGAAACGATTATTTTTAGGCTTCCTGATAGGAACATTTTTGGATGCAGTGACATTTTGGGGCAAATCATCCGATTTCTCCTCGCTAATCGTATATTGAAATAATACTCATATTTTTATTGTATGGAAAAGAGGAGAAAATCTTTGAAGATCCGGAATAATGAAAGAAGTAGATATATGCTATCATCATTATTCTCAGAGATTATGCATGCAACTTTTGTTTCCCTTATGAGCATTTCCACATGAAACAGCGCCAAAAAACAGTAAACACATTTTCCAATATGGTAGGCCGTCCGAAAATAAGAAAAGGAATGAACTCCAGAGACTCATTCGCCTTCGTCCGGCCTTGTCACAGACTCTTCAAGAGATATTAGGCAATTCTTCAAGACTACTTGAGAAATTTGATCAACTCGATGCCACGGCGGTTGAATGCTGTAAGTAATGATTCAAACTCGGAAATACTCATTATTGACTACAGGTCTGCTGTTTGTTTATTGTAATTGAGGTTTTTCCGGTAAGTGCTAAGAAAATGAGGTACACATAAGTGAAAAGTTTATGTAGGTTCTGATTATTGCTAAAGAGAATTGAAAAACGAGATATTGACGTGAACCAAAAACCATTATGTTGAGAAGGAATTACACTTTAATAATCCAAAGCATAATTAACCTAAGTTTAACCACTCATCAATTTAGCCACCTGACGTTTGATCGAGTTTGGTTTTTCCCTGTATATTAATCAAGTTATCAGATTTTCACGGAAACTAATCATATTTAGGCTAACATTCCGGAACATGAATCTGCGATTTGATCGAAATTTTACAAAAATCAGAAAAGGATTGAAACAGCAGTTACAGGATAAACAATTTAGGCAAATTCTTTGGTTGCCGGTTTTCTTGTGGGAAGATAAAAGAGGAAAATTGCGAAACCATTTCGAGGAATATGCTCGAGAATTATCAGAATATGCTTGAAAAAAATCTCAATCTCTTCAATATTTTGCAGAGGATTGTTTGTTACCCTGTATAGCCAGAGGTTATCATGTATTTCCATCAGCGGTCTATCTGTCATATACCCAATGGATCAATCTTCAGAATGAAGGAAACCGCATCCGAATAAGTGGAATTTTCGCGAAAATATTCAATGTTGAATTTAGAGCAAAAATGTGCTTGATGCGGTTCGATTGATCAGCAGTTTATATGTGAATACTGTCTCTGAGTTCGTCCTGTTTGTATTCCTGTTTGTGAAAATTAATAAGATAAATAAATAAATGAAGTACAGGAGCAATTCAAATTTTACTCTCCGCGTGACGTCATACGCATACTGGACGAATCTACCCATCATATCTTGTGTTCTTTGTATCATGGTGTCTAAACCGGTACAACTCACTTCTCGGCTTCCTCGGCGGCCGCCTCTTCGACCTGGCCGCCATCCTGGCCAGGTGCCTGGCCGATGGCGGGAACTCCAGCCCGTCCTGCCTGTCTTTGGCGACGAGCCGACGCTCCTCGGCGAAGGCGCGCAACCAGCGCTGTTTGTCGCCGGCCGAGCGGCAGCAGAACATCAGCCATTTGTCGCGCACCACGCTGTACAGCTTTATGGCGTGGCGGACGGTCACGCCCAGGTGGGCGTCTGCAATAAAGAGCATATTATAGTTTTTCTACTTACATAACTAAAATGGCATTTATCGTACGGATATGTACCACGCTAAATGATCGATTAATCACGGATTGTCGATCTGTGATTTATTCAAAATATTGAACACGTTACCATGGCAACACGATTTCGTAAACACATTACCATGGCAACGCAGTTCATTAAACACAGCTTCAGTAATTTTGTATCAGAATTATTCAAACAATATTCGTTTGTATCAGAATTCTTCATTAAAAATATATGCAAAAAGTAGACGAAAGTGAAATCAAAGAGAATGTTCTGGTACTTGCATATCTCCAAGAAGTGTAAAAATGAAGCATCCATCTTTGAGAACAATTTATTTATTCTGCGCTAAACATGACAATAAACGTGAAACAAAGGTTAGTAATAGTAAGTAATGGACTGGACACATCTACAACCAATATCACTTATACGTGTCTCGCTGGTTGCATGCAGTTGCATGTAATATGTTCTCAATTCCCATTCCTTTCGAATTATTTTGTAGGTTAGCAGAAATTGCAGGTATGTTGATGTAATTTTCGGAGTTCGTAGAAAAATCATACTATGTATCGCGTTTATAAACTCTTCTAGACACTCGTTTATTAAACACTCGCTCCGCTCTGCTCCGCTCGTGCTTAAACTACTCGTTACTAAAAGGACGTTTATAACACTTGTTACATAATATACTATTAATAGCATTATAAAAAGAATACAGAATTGGAAACCATAAGGAAACTTTGATTGGTCATAATTGTTCGATATTGGTCATGTTCCGATATTGCTGACATTACTGGCCACAGTAAGCAATTTAGAAACACTGAACAGTAGCAGTAGCTTGGAATTTTTATTTAGTTTCGGGACGATTTTGGCAGTACTAGTACACTGGCAGCAAAACATAACCATATTAGCCTATGATCTTTCGATTTTCGATGTTTTGTGAGGCTGAGCCTCCTCAAGAATTTTCATACATCGAATAGTTCAATATGTACAGTGTGTCCTACTTATCATGCTCACCATGGGTATCTTTTTAACGGTGAGAGATACGAGGTCGGTTAAATGACACCAAATGTGGAGTTTTTCAAGGCCAACTATAATGTGAAAAAATATTTTGATAAAATCTATTCGTTTTTGTTTTATACGCAAAAAACAGATTTTGATCATTTTCATGTCTCCTCCGTAAATTCTTTATTTATGAAAATATTCAAATAGGAATTTCACATTCTCATGGCAGTTTTTCGAAGTGATTTCGAAAAAAATATGAAATCTATACCAACTCTTCTAGAATTTGAGATATCAGCACCAACTTTAGTTTTTCAAATGTAGGTCATAGCTCACTATGACATAGTTACAAATGACTTTTTTTTCTCTCACAGATGATATGTCGCAGTAATAGTTTTGTGTTGATAACAACGGAGTTATCGTCATTTAAACAAAAACAAAAAAATATTTGGAAGCCGCCATCTTGAATTTATAAATGTTAACAAAAAAATCATGATCTCCGACTTCAAAAACCCCCACTTATCAATTTTGAATGGAATCGGACCAAATCTTGTCCGCCATCTTGGAGCAGCCATTTTTTTTTAATTTCAACAATAATTCCATAATGTATTGTCACCGAAATTATGAACACCTGCCAAATTTCAAGTTAATCGGAGTTTTATTATTATCCATTAAGCAGTAGGAAACGAGCTTGATGAGCAAAATTTTCTTAATATTGCGCTTTTTCATTAGATATTGCGCTTTTATGTTGGCAGCATTGCGCTATTTGTTTCTTCAACACCGGCAACACTGTATATGAAAGTACATCGTTACCCAGGGCAGATTATATCCCGAAGCTTCAGTCGAGGGGTTT